AGTAATCTGCGCAGCATGGTGCATCGTCTAGAAACATAACATCTCTTTTCCATAAAATATATGTTTGAATTTTCAAACTAGTTTTCATTGGGAAGGCAGATAAGCAATCATTTACATTTTACATTTTAGTCATTTAGCAGACGCTCTTATCCAGACATATTTTTTTTTCATACTGGTCCCCCATGGGAATCGAACCCACAACCCTGGCATTGCAAACGCCATGCTCTACCAACTGAGCTACACTTTTGCATGTAAAAACACAGAATCTGTTCATTACTCCACGTGCTTAATCTAGTCTAGGCTGCGTTACTTTTGTTTTGAGCCGACTTCGCCGTGGACTTTGAACGGGGCACCTAGCTCACTCCCGGTAGCCAGCCCGGCTCTAAAATGAATGCAATCACTTTTCACCCGGTGACAACTCCTCCCACCGGGGTAACCCGGCCCAGATAATCAAATCCCCCTCACTGAGTGAGTTGGAGAGAAAGCGTTACCACTTTTCCCACTGAGCCCAAGACCTTCCATTGGTAAATAAAAATTCCAAGGGGATTTTTTGGCGCTCTCATTTTCCTCAACCACTGAGGCACCATGTAATGTACAGTATACATGTAGGCTACTTCTCATGGAATTGGATGTCTCCCTCCTACATGAAGGAGGCAGTCTGTTTAGCTTAAACATCATAAACATAACACCTAGGTCTATAGCTTAACACTATACTGTAGCCTATAATATACCATGGGTTTGATTCCCTTTCCATTCATTCTATTCCAGCTCGTCCTCTGATTTCTCCCTACAGTAGTCCACACACACAACAGGGAAAAGGAATATTGAATAATATTTTGTAGGCGTGGGTATTCTGGGTGTTATGTAACATAATTAGTGAGTGAGACATTCTTGCAACAGTATGCCCAATGGCTTTCACATCTGTTGCCTTAACACCCCACAAGCAGGGCTTGTAAACAGTTGTGTCACCGTCAAATCACCCCGTAGAGACATTTAAGAAACTGTCAACCTAGTTTCCTAGAAGAAGGTGCCTCTCAAAACCAACATAAAAAGGTTAGTGGGGCTGCCATTCAGTTGATGAGTAAACATTTAGTCACAGGAGAAAAAGGTATACCTGCCGAGAAACAATGTAACCAGTCTCTGATACAAGCATCTAGTTTTGAATTACATTTGGTTGAGTTGTCAACTAACGTAAATTCAACAAACAAATTCACCATGTCATTGGATTTAGGTTAAAAGTTGGGTAAAAAAATACTAAATGTTGATTACTTTTTGCAAATCCAATCAGTTTTCCACATTGATTCAACGTCATCACATTGATTTTTTGGTTGAAATTATGTGGAAACAACGTTTATTCAACCAGTTTTTGCCCAGTTGGATTATAATTTTCACTTTCCGCAAGATTTAGTGGCTTTGGCACTTTGTAACACAGTGGCATCACTTTTGGAGCTGGAAACTGGCGGCCGACCGAGACTGGCGCATGCAATCACGAAGTGCGCACAATGGCACACTAGGACGCACGCGTGATGACACACAGACACAGATAAATCCATCCCCTCAAAATCTCTTCCCTTTTCCATAAGGAGCACAGTCTAGCGGAAGTGAGTGCTCTGTTATTTAGAGTCAATGTTGTAATTAATTCTGTCTGCATCAAAAGCAGCACGTTATTTACACTAAAGACTGCAATTTGATGTCAGAGGGGGGCCTGCAGGTTGAAATATAGTCATCAATGGTGACTTTTGCATCTGGACCCGGATAGCTTTGTCCACCGTTGGTTTGGAGTACACAAGTACATTTCTGTCTAGACCCAAGAAATCCTGTTGCGCATGGTGTGTCTGTGGTTTTACAACCACTGTTTTATTATTGTGTTGGACCGTTTTATTATAGGCGGGGGAAAAAATGCTCTGTTGAAGTGTGAAATGAGTTACATATGTACCTAGTTTTGGGACACAACATCAGGAGTCTGTGTATTGGTTGTCCAACCGATGTTGTGTCCCAAAGCTAATGTGTACCAGGCTTTTGTTTCATTTTGCATATATTTTTTATTGATATCTATACAGTGCATTCGGAAAGTATTCAGACTTTTTCCACATTAAAATTGATTAAATAAAAAATCTACACACAATATCCGATAATGACAAAGTGAAAACAGGTTTTTAGAAACTTTTGCTAATTTTTAAGAGCTAAGAAACAGAAGTATTCAGATCCTTTGCTATGAGACTCGAAATTGAGCTCAGGTGCATCCTGTTTCCATTGATCATCCTTGAGATGTTTCTACAACTTGATTGGAGTCCACCTGTGGTAAATTCAACTGATTGGACATGATTGGGAAAGGCACACACCTATCTATTTAAGGTCCCACAGTTGACAGTGCATGTCAGAGCAAAAACCAAACCATGAGGTCGAAGGAATTGTCCGTAGAGCTCCGAGACAGGATTGTGTCGTGGCACAGATCTGGAGAAGGGTACAAAAAAATGTCTGCAGCATTGAAGGTCCCCAAGAACACAGTGGCCTCCATCATTCTTAAATGGAATAAATTTGAAACCACCAAGACTCTTCCTAGAGCTGGCCGCCCGGCCAAACTGAGCAATCGGGGGAGAAGGGCCTTGGTCAGGGAGGTGACCATGAACCTGATGGTCACTCTGACAGAGCTCCAGAGTTCCTCTGTGGAGATGGGAGAACCTTCCAGAAGAACAACCATCTCTAGAGCACTCCACCAATCAGGCCTTTATGGTAGAGTTGCCAGACGAAAGCCACTCCTCAGTAAAAGGCACATGACAGCCCGCAAGGACTCTCAGTCCATGAGAAACATGATTCTCTGGTCTGATGAAACCAATATTGAACTCTTTGGCCTGAATGCCAAGCGTCACGTCTGGAGGAAACCTGGCACCATCCCTATGGTGAAGCATGGTGGTGACAGCATCATGCTGTGGGGATGTTTTTCAGTGGCAGGGACTGGGTGACTAGACAGGATCGAAGGAAAGATGAACGGAGCAAAGTACAGAGAGATCCTTGATGAAAACCTGCTCCAGAGCGCTCAGGACCTCAGACTGGGGCAAAGGTTCACCTTCCAACAGGATAACGGCCCTAAGCACACAGCCAAGACAACACAGGAGTGGCTTCAGGACAAGTCTTTGAATGTCCTTGAGTGGCCCAGCCAGAGCCTGGACTTGAACCCGATCGAACATCTCTGGAGAGACCCGAAAATAGCTGTGCAGCGACGCTCCCCATCCAACCTGACAGAGCTTGAGAGGATCTGCAGAGAAGAATGGGAGATCTCACCAAATACAGGTGTGCCAAGCTTGTAGCGTCAAACCCAAGAACACTCGAGGCTGTAATCGCTGCCAATGGTGCTTCAACAAAGTTCTGAGTAAAGGATCTGAATACTTATGTAAATTTAATATTTCAGTTCTTTTTTTATTCTTTTTTCAAAAATGTCTAAAAACCTGTTTTTCTCTTTGTCATTATGGGGTATTGTGTGGAGATTGAGGGGAAAAAAAACAATTTAATCCATTTTAGAATAAGGCTGTAACGTAACAAATGTGGAAAAAGTCAAGGGTCTGAATACTTTCGGAATGCTCTGTATATCCACGTGACAGAATTGGCCACAATATTATAATTGAAGACTAGGCATTACATCGCATTTTCCTGGAAGTGGCAAAAAATATTCATAATCTCATTTTGTGGTAACATTTTTAGTTTCCTTTACCAACTAAAAGTCAATATAGGCCTAGACGTTTTTAGTCAACACTTAAATGATATATTTTATTGTTCTGTTTGGTCGTCTTTAATTTTGAATAGATTTATGATTGTAACATTCCAGTGAAAACATTGATGAGAGATTTTATGGGCATAAAGGCTGACATCTGTTGTAACACAGCAGCAAAGCCCTGACAACCTACTCTGATTCCTCTGGAGAAATGTCCACATCAATCTATATTTAGCAATATAATCGCTAGAACCCCTTCACCACTGACTCGTCCAAACATGCCTTCATTTGTTTATTCTTGTTGAGAAGAGATGGCCTCGAATACTATGGAATAAGGTAGGCAAAGCTATATACCAGTCGAGCCGATCCAGAGGGCTTATCGGATAGCAGAGTGCATTGAACGCAGTCTTGGGTACAATCATGCCCGTTCCAGGCGCACCATTTACCCACGCCGTTTCCCTACACTATGGGATATACACAGGCTAATGTTTTCCTGACCTTCAGGGCGATACACTGGCGCTTATTCATTTTTTGAGGGAATTTTATTTGAGTCATGGATTCGCGGGATCCCCCTTAGGAATTTGCCTGTGCCCGCGCACATCATTTGAGTTGCACTCATCCAAGTATAAACTAGTAAAACTAAACGCTTACCAAGCACACAGTCAAAACAAACATTAGGCTAACTAATTTGTAGTTGTAATGGGTGGGTGATATCTGGCAAAATATGAGGGTTGTTTGATTTATCTGCTGTTATCAAAGGTGTTTAACGAAATAAACATTTGTTTGGAAAATGTTATTCACTGAATATCTCCAGGAAATGTTTTGCAACTGAGCACTTCTGTAGGGTCGTTTCTGTCACTGGATGACAATAAATTACAAGCTTACTAACAAATAAAAAGTTGCTCAACAGCAGCCCACTTGAATCATTGCCATTGGCCTTGGGGGGTATCCTATCCATGAAGCTACTTACTAGTCCGTCATACAGCACCATCTACGGGACAGTTCAGGTACTACACTGCATCGTCATAATACAAGGCAGTTGACTGACAATAAATTCATGATTGTGTTGGTGTGCGGTTTGTGCTGCACATTTCAGTTGTAAAATTGTATTTTTGTGTACTGTGTATTTTGTTGCATTCTTCTGATTTTAATATTCACTCAATGCTTTCTCATATCCTAAATACAGTATCATGTTCTATTTGCTTATCAGACGATAAAAGAGTATTCTGTCATTACTATTCATTGCCGTATTTGTGACCTGTCGTATATTTTTTTGATTGCATCGATGACATCATCTATCAACAGTACCAGTGATGCCACACTGCAGGTCACACTGCATGTTGATGTCAACATCATTGAAATTTATTTTTTGATGTCAACAAGACATGTATCAGCCCATTTACCAGGTATATCCTGAAGGGGATGTAGCGGAAGCCTCCCTCTTCTGTGGGGTATTCCATCAGCTTACGGTTCATGGCCCAGAACTGGTCAAACTTATCTGAGGAACACAACACAACAACATTTACATACAAACTGTCCCCATCTCCTTTTTTGTTTTTAACCAGCTCTACAAGGCTGCTCTACAAGGCTTCTGAAACCCTTTTAACCTGTCCTGGTTTCTAACTCCCCTCCCCTGTATCTCACTTTCACACAATTTTAGCTTTTGAAATATTTCAGATCTGCTTTCTCTTCTGGGTGGAGTTGTAACTGTCTCTTTCTCTCTCTGTTTCTGGTCTGTTTTGGTTATGGAAACCTCCAAAAGAGTATATTTTGGTAAGTGAGAAAAAACAACAACTTTGCAGCTGAGGCAAAGACACTGTTCAGAGAGTGTGGGTGGTGTGGGTTTGAGTGGTAGGGTTTCGGGGTTGTTGAATAGAGGGGCAAAATAAGGGTACAGAGTCCCAAAGTAAATACTTAAGTATGTGTGTGTGTGTGTGTGTGTGTGTGTCTGTGTGTGTGGCCCTCACCGTTCTGCAGGCCCATCCACAGCTGCTTGTGGTCTTTCTTCTGCATGTCGTTGATGACCTGGCTCTTGTGTTTGAGGGCGTCCGCCTCCTTGATGCTGGACATGAAGTGGGCCTCGATCACAGAGTTAGAGGGGCAGTGGAGCAGGTCACACTCTGGGAAATTCTACCGCAGAGAAACCACACAGGCAGGACTGATTTTTAGCACTGTATACCAGCGGTTGGAACCGGTTCAGGGAACCGGAACCGGAAAATAACAAAACATTTCAAGGAACAAAAGTGATCCATACTGTTTCGAAACAGAACCGTTATTTTAAAAGCATGGGAACCGGTTAATAACGTTATTTGACGTTCCAGGCATTTTTTTCTAGTCCCACAACAAAACACAACAAAGCGCCCATGCAAAGCCCTCACCTTGTCACTCAGAAACGTATTCCAGTGTCTGCCTGCAAGCTGAAAATCTTTGCATGTGCTACCTGCCCCTCCCCCGTCTGAAGCATAGGCTGGTGATTGTACTGACATTACAAGCTTGATTCAGAAGATAGGAAGATAGATTTTTAATTAGCTAGAGAAAAACTGATTAACTTTTTCAATGCTAATTAAGTATAATATAGGCCTAGATATAATGTTTCACGTTAGATTTATTAACTACAAAAAGGTAAGGCGTGTTTTAAATTCTGGTGCCACTCTGCACACACAGGCTTGTTAGCTTGCTAGCTCAAGCTTGTTAGCTAGCTACCTTAAAGGACATTCAAAGTTCCTCCATAGAAGCCGCTCCTCCTAGGTATAATTCTGTGGACCTAATTCATATAATGCATATCATAACAAGATGCCCAGCGCTTCAAGCCTCCTATTCAACCCTCTCTCCCCACCCTCAAAATTTCTGTCGCATCTTGCGCCATAGGCTACACTGGTCTATCCATCATGCATGTAAACAACTAGCTTGTCGCACTGACTGGTGAAGTAATTGAATTAGCTAAATGTTTTTTAAAAACTGTTGATTTCATAGGTTAAAAAAAGAACAGGAAGGAACGATATAAACCGTTACTTTTTTTTAGTTCGAACCGATTCAGAACTCTTTTTTTGGGGGGTCGGAACAGTGAAACGGAAATGAAAAAAAATTTGTTATATTCAGAGCAAAACGATTGGAAAATAATTTCGGTTCCAACCCCTGCTGTATACAGCCCAGCATTTGGAGGATTCTACATTTACTTGCTGCAAAACAAATTCTGTGTTGTACCTTAAAGTGCACAGTGATGCTCCAGGGCAGTGCAGTGTTGGAGGCATGCAGGTCAAACAGCAATCCGATTGGATAGTGCCTGCAATGAATAAACACAGCCACACCACATTAGTAGAGGAAACAGGGCTTCATTCTATTCCAACCCTGAATCATAATGAGTTATCCTCTCCTTCACCTTGGGCTGGATCCTAAGTAACCGCTTAATAGGTTTGAAAGGAAATAATTTAAATCAACACCTTATTTACCCAAAGGTCTGAGTTACGTGTGTATGTCAATTTAAGATTAGGACCCTTATGTCCAACCAAATGTCCAATGCTTGTGTTGGGCTGCCACCTGGTGCCTGAAATGTAATACTGCAGACAATTGGTATGTAGTCTCCTCATTGATTATGATGACAGGAGGCGAGTTGATCTGTAAAATATTTACTTTACTGCTGTGCTAGGACACATGTTTCTACAGAGGGGCACAGGGAATTCTAACCATTATCTTCACTAGTGGTTATTAAAACAAGTTAATGATTTACAACACACATAGCCCTCAAAGTCGTCATTTAAAGCTCACCCACCATTTGAGTGGCGTTCCCTCGAAATCAAACCACATCTCCTCTACATCCTCTGCCTTCATGACCTTCAGGAAGTGCTTTTTCACCTTGTCTGTGACCAGAGTCAGGTAGCTCACCCTTGGTAGGAGGAGCTGTGGAGAGAACAGCAGAGAGGGGGAGAAGCAAGGTGCTCAATCTATGCTCCCGCAAGAGTCCATGGCTCAAGCCAGCTCAGTAGTCATCATGTGTGTGATCTGAATTAGCTAGACCTATGTCACAAAAGCCATGTCCATTGCACAGGATGTTGGTCGCACCTTAATTGGGGAGGACTGGCTCGTGGAATGGCTGGAGCGGAATTGTATTCAAATAATCCAGGCTCTGTCATAGCCGGCCGCGACCGGGAGACCCATGGGGCGGCGCACAATTGGCCCAGCGTCGTCCAGGGTAGGGGAGGGAATGGCCGGCAGGGATGTAGCTCAGTTGGTAGAGCATGGCATTTGCAACGCCAGGGTTGTGGGTTCGATTCCAGTATAAAAAATAAAAATGTATGCACTCACTAACTGTAAGTCGCTCTGGATAAGACCGTCTGCTAAATGACTAAAATGTAAATGTAAATGTATAATTCAAACACACGGTTTCCATGAGTTTGATGCCATTCCATTCGCGCCGTTCCAGCCATTATTATGAGCCGTCCTCCCCTCAGCAGCCTCCACTGGCATTGTCCAGCAAAGCAACATCCGTTTTTTTTTTTATAGAGTACTAGTCTGCGTGATGTCATACTTACATAGAAGGGTTCGGCTTCTCTCTCTGTGATCTCATCCTGGTAAAGTGTGAAGCAGGTCGGAATCCGACCAAACCAAACATCTCGCAGCACGTCCTTGTCATCTGCCATCCTCCCGTCGCTCCCAGTGGCACATAAAGGAAGTACTCTCTAGCTACAAACTACCTGTCATCAACAGATTAAAGGGTACATCTGTGATTGGTACATCCATTGTGGGACTTTTAAATGAATGTTATATACCCATTGATTCTTGAAGAGTATCATTGATCAATTCCTCATGAGTTGAACTGTCTTACCCCATCCGAACCCAAAATATGAGATTGTAATTGTAAACAAACCCTGCATAGCCTCAAAACATCGCTAAAACTATAATGATCGGTCTATGAGTGGCAGGGTGACCGTTGTTGTTTGAACTCTAGATTTTGCCCCAATGACAGACAGTCAGTCTGATATGAGAGAGTACACCAGAACGGTAATATTCGAAAGCTCTCTACAGAACGTGTCAATCAAGCTCTCTTTGGAACCAGTCAATCACAGGTCTGCAAAGAGTTCGAATCTTACCACTGTTTGTGAACACACAACTTCCAACTAGACAGCGTTACGCTAGTGGAGAAATACAAAGTGCTAGTTAGCTAACGTGTTAGCTAGATACTGAAACTAACTAGCCACGACTTCACTGGTGGTGAGGAATACAATTACATTGAACATAGTTAACTAAGCAATGGTGTATTAGTTACTTTGCAACAACTTACATGCAATGTCATGGTTGTAAGTTTGATGCAGTAAATTATTCTGTATTGACTTGCTAGCTAGCCAACTAGCTAGATAGCTGCGTATGCTACCTAGCCTGTCACTGACACCGGCAGGAATAGTAGCGACGCTGTGGACATATTTGAAAGTTTGCCCTAAACAAGTGGTAGGACTAGGAGCAGATCATTTCTAAAAGTTTTGAGACAAATGATGAACAACATCTTACTTTTATAGAGCGTTTGTAACAAGCTGCGATGAAGGAAGAGGGCCGTGGTGGTGTTATCATTCGCCTGTCAAGGAAAAAATGCAAGGAAATCCCCCTTTTCCCTGACGAGGTGTAACCCGCAGTATAGAGCGACATTCAGCGTTTATTGTAGTGTATTGCAATAATCAGGTCGAGATGGTTGTATTCAGTGCAAAGAGGACCTATAAAGTTGTTGGTTAGAGACGATCATTTTGATTCGCTTAGTAATCGATAAGTCATTTTGTAGTTATTGGTAGTTTCATTTACAGCTTGCAAACCACATAAGTTTTCTTTGGGGACAACAAATATGGTGCCTTTCACGGCCCGTAGATTTTTTTTGCTATAATGCAATAAATATGCGCCGTCGCCTGTTGTACGTCATTGCAACGATCCAAATCTATTTGTTGTGCTCCCTGAATCAAGAATGGATAGGAAAGCTGAAGTTGATAACCTCGAAACGCGCCTTGAGACGCTGGAAAGTCGTATATACGGTGAAAGAAGGAACAAGGGAGGGAAACCCGTGAAGGTTTGCCAATAATATTTCATATTAGAAATGCAGAATAGTGATTCAACTGGCTGCTAGCTTTGGCTAGCTAGCTAGCGAACCCCCTTTTTGCACACAAATTTTATACAATCAATGTTTAGACATCAAGATTATGTGTGTGAAGAACAGCTATGCCAGTGCATTCCAATTAGTTACAATCCAACATGTTAATGTTGAGCGAGTACTTGCTAACTAGATAGCTAGCTAAATAACTCACAATGCCAGCACAGCTATAAACACAGTTTATTTTCACATTGACAGTTCGATGAGGGCAAGTTTTGCTTTTTAGTTTATCTTCTTTATATAATGCACTCTGTTCCGTAGTGCGCCGATTCCCTCTCCAGAGTTCAGGCCGCCCTTGCAAACACTGCAAATAAGAGGGAACGAGTGAAGATTCTACACAAAAAGAGTGAGTGACATCTTAGACAACACATAACTGTGACTTGGATGGGACACATTATTACCAGGACAATCACAAAGATGGGTTAATTGTGATTATATTTCCCACATAGCAACTAATATATATTCTACAACCTTTGTTCTCTGTACAGTTGAGGACCTGCTGAAGTATCTGGACCCTCAGTTCACTGACCACATCACTGTTCCTGATGCCATGAAGCTGGAATTCATCCTTGCTGGTAAGAGTTTTTCATTTAAAATATGTGAGTAAATGTTGGCAAATTTGGTCCTGCATCATGGTGATTGAGTAGGCCTCTGGCATATGGGTATGTGCCTCCAGTCTCAAACTCATGCACTTGTTTCTCCCCACAGAGGAGGACTTCCTGCTTTCCCAGGCCACCCTTCTGGAGCAGGTCAGCAACCTCCAGCCACTATTGGACAGCAACTACATCCGAGGTCAGTGAGAGGGAATCTAAGTACCTTTACAAATGGTCTGTGTGAAGTGTTGATGGGATGAAGGGTTAAATAATGTTTATGTTGAACGCAACTCAGTGTAAAGTTCTCATTCACAGATGTGCCAGAGCATGCCACCAAGCTACAGCGTTTGTCTCAGATTCACATCAAAGAGCAGGTATGAACCCCCCCCCTTTACTTATTCTCGCCCCTCTTTTCTTGATTTTGTCTTTCCTCACAAGTCAATCTAGACATGTTAGAATGACTTGTGAATTGCAGTATCTTGGTGACACCATACTTGTCATTTTCCCAAAGGACCAAACTGAGGCCCAGTCCCTAGAGGTGAAGAAGCTGTTTGAGGAGTACAACAAAATGGTACCTTTCCTTCATTATAATGGCAAATACTGTCTTGATGGATTAATGGAATTATTGAAGTGAATAAATAACACTGATCAAGCCAGAGGAAGATGTATCGGAGGTTAGCTAGTGAAACTTTGAAGAGTACATTGGCTGTCATGTCTTCTGACCTCCTCGGTCAGATGAATGAAAGTGAGTGGTTGCTAAAAGTAATTAGCTAGCTTGTTGTTTCTGTCACAAGTCATGTTGAACTCTGAGAAATGTCTGGGCTAATGGAATGAACTGCCTGGCCCACCAAATGATCTTTGAACCTTGACCTCTTTGGCAGATGTTCCTGCTGTCCAAGCAGTTCACCCAGTGGGATGAGAGCCTGCGGAACGTGGAGGAGGCCAAGGTCATCCGTCAAGTGGAGTAGCGACCATGTCCAGTGATGACCGTTATGACAATGTCACGGCTTGATGTCATCCGTGTGTCCTATATGCAGCTTAATATAACTTGCTGGAGATTATTGTTATTTATTTACAGCTACATCTAGAGACATTTGCATAGTTTTTTTTTTTTTACTCCCTTCTTGTACATTTATTCAACATACAATGTACCCATGCATTCCAAGTCTGCAACACTGCTCCAGGCAGTCACAAGACCCTGCTTTTTTTCTGGGTCGCTTGACAGAAGAAAAGTGTAGAGAAGAATTTGCACACTAACTTATTTCTTCTTCCACAAGTCCTGGTTTTAAATGGTTTTAAATCAGACAGCATGACCGCAAATGTAAAGTAATTGCAATAAAATCCATATTATTCAACTTGAACTGTTTGGTTTACTTCTGTTTGTGAAGGACGTATTTCAATATATTGTTATAAAACAACTAAAGTCTTAAACTTCAATTGTGTGCTTGAATTCAGCTGTGCCTGAGATTATTTTTCTGTTTGCATTTAATTACAGGTATTTATTTCAATAGCCATATCTGACTAAAAAGAGAAGACGTTTTACAATCAGAGAGATACAATTGATCGATTGTAAAACGTCTTATTTTTTAGTCACAAGCTAGGTTTCCATCCAATTTGCGACAGATTTTAATGCGAATATTCTAAAATCTGTATAAAACAATATGCGCATTTTCCCACAAGATGTTTCCATCAAACGGATTTATTGCGGATAAAAGCCTGTGCGTGATGACGTAGTGCACATAAAAACGTTTATTGTAAAATGTCCATGTACCGAATGAAAAATAAATCGGTTTCCATTTTCAATTATATTGATAGTTTTGTCAGAACAACTGTTGCGTTATAGCAAATGTGCCCACCCTGGTCTTGGCACGTGCACTTTAGCCAACTGCTCAACAGCTGCGGGTAGGCTACCTACATTATGAGATTATTATGGATAAGAGTAATATTTTTAATTGTCAAACGGCAGCCGCATCGATCATTATGTCACCAGAATAATATGGAGGACTAAAAGTGCCACAATTAAATAAATAAATACACCATTAAATAATTACTTAAATGTGTCATTAATTAATTCAAATTTGAATTAAATACATAAATGTGTTATTAAATGTGTCATTAATTAATTCAAATACCGATTCATTTTATGTAAAATACATATATAATAATTTCACTATTTACATTTACATTTCATGGTCCTGCGTTGCAGTGATTCATGAATTACTTAAAACTGTCAAACTGACCCATCAAAAGTTGGTAGGCGGAACCTAACGCCTGATTGGTTACCCTCTGCATCAAGCCAAGACAAATCAATTCCGGATAATGGATTGATGCAGAGCTACTGAACACATTCCAATACACTGGGTGGCGCTATTCACCTCTACATTGGTTTAGTTACACGGTTAAACAGAACTTTCATTGCAACGGCTAAAAATCAAGAGAAGACTCGGTCCTGCTAGCCCCAATGTTGAGACGCTGTGTGAGGTGCAGTTTGAATTAATTAATGACACATTTAATAACACATTTATGTATTTAATTCAAATTTTAATTAATTAATGACACATTTAAGTAATTATTTAATGGTGTATTTATTTATTTAATTGTGGCACTTTTAGTCCTCCATAGGTACCAGGTACTTTTTTTCGTAATGGAAAACCAAAAAAGGCAAGGCGAGGCGAGTAGGTACCATGTAATGGAAAAGCACCATTAGATTTTGAAGAAGTGTAATATCGTTACATGGTAAGTTTAGTCTTTTCCTGGTTTCAAAGGCTGCATTACAGTAAAGTGATGTCATTTTCTGAACTTACCAGACTGTTCTAGCTGTTCTATTATTTGCCTTTTACCACTTAGTCATTATATCCACAATATGATAGTTATTTATCCGAAATCTAAATGTGGAAGATATTTTGTGAATGCACCAATTGTCAACCTTACAATATCGTTGCAATATCGACATCAAGGTGTTAGGTCAAAAATGTGATATTTGATTTTCTCCATATTGCCCAGCCCTAATGTCAATGCATACACAGTTCAGATGAATTGACACAAGTTCAGTGTCTTTGAAAACATTAACACACTGTGCAGTAGTTTACTTTTTTTTCTTCCATTTACTAAAATCAAACTGTTCTGCACCTTCAGTGCTAACAGTACAGCATTCATGTTAGTCATTCTGTGGACCATAATGAGACAGGAAGCTTCAAAGAAACAGCTTTTTTTCCTTTCTTTTAAAAGGAAAGTAAACTTTCAGTTTTTCCTTGCTTGTTCTAACACAACAAATAAAAACATGGGTTGGACATCAGTCTAAGATTCTTGATAACACTTCCACAGTCTCTACATATAGTCTAAGTGCATCAGTAACAGAAACTCCTGGAGCTGGCAAAATTGCAACCTCTTCATCTGAGAGCTCACGGGCCAGCTGAACCTCGGGGACTGACACAGTGCCTCGATGAAGGCAGTGAGGTCCGTTCCAATCGATCCCATATTCTTCAGGAACCTGAATGGATGACAAGCATAATCAGTCTTGTACTTAAAACTAGTTTGACATGTCCTTACACAAGATTGTTATTTTTGGTCACCAAGGCAGTGAGAAATTAAATGTTACTTATTCAGTTTTTTTAAATAATACAGCTTTGCATAGTATGCACTGTAGAAACTACAGCTCACAGGTTGATCTTTAAAAGCTCGGGAGATTTTAAAGAGACAATAATCTATAGTAAATGTTTCATTTAAAGTATCACATTTAGCACCATTTTTTTCTCCCATAATTCCTTTGGGGAAACAATTTTAAGAAAGTGTTTAAAGTTCATTGTTAACCTCAGTAGGATCCTCCTCAGGGCCTTGCTCTCTGTAACTTCTCCAGAGTTGCTGTGGTGACTGATTCCTTTCAGTTCTAAGACCGTGGAAGTTCCAAGCATCTCGAAAAGAGTCGAGGCTTTGCTGAACCAGTGGAAGGAAAATCCGGTGCAGAGCGAAAAGATGGACTTCATTGTCTGGATTCAGTGTCTCCTGATCTTCCAATGAAGTAAAGATCTGATAGAAGAGGTCCAGGGCATGTTCATAAACATCTCTCCACATCCTCTCTATTCTGTGTTTAGGATAAAATTGAGAAATTGTTAATTTATGACATATGCTAAAGTACATTCAACTAGTATGTTAGTTGTGTGAGCCTAGTTGCCAAACATATTTCTTTACCGCTGATTGTGGACACTTCTGCCTGTGATGTGTGAATTCCTGTCGGTACCTCTGCTTCTGATCATGAATTCTGCTACATCTGCATTCTCCCCCCCTTTGTCAGACCGTACCCTTGATGGCAGCCCATACTGCTCAACAGCGGCGATAAAGCTCTGTAAGACCGTATGAGCTCTATTATTGCCGGCCACAGTCAGGTAGACCACTAAACGACTGAATCCATCCACCCCACCGTGGACAACAAATCTCCACCTGTTGCAAACACATGAAAAAATATAACTTTATTGTATAACAATTGTAATGAAACATATAGAAAGATGCATTGTTTATCTGCTAATATCACTGACCTGATAAGCTTATGGTGGCCATCTATATGCCACAAAGAGTTTGGGCCAGGAACAAAATACTGCCGTCGCCTTAATACACGCAGCCTCAGACGTCTCATGTAGACTCCCTCTGCATTGACTCTGCGTAAAGACTCTTGCAGTCTTGAGACTGAGGGGAGGAATTTAAAATGAATAACCACACACTCACTGGCTACTTATTTTGAGGATATAGTGGTGTCATAATAAAATAAATAATGTGTGTAAAACAGTCAACTATTACAGAACCACCACAGCTTCAAAAATGTACTTTACTGTCAGATATTGTACATATACATACATACACACATATATATATATACATACATACATACACATATATATACACATATATAAAAATTATATATACATATACATATATATATATATATATACACACATACATATACATACATACATACATACATATATTTATATATATATACATACATATACATACATATATATACATACATACATATATTTATATATATATATATTTATATATATATATATACATACACACATATATATACATATATCCTCCTGAGAACCAAGGAAAGTATTGTTTTTCCTAATCATATTTTTTGTGATTCAATAACTGTTTAGGGTTAAAAAAAGCATCCTACAATTTCCACATTTTAATTTTATTTTTTATTTTTTATTTTACAGCATGTCCACTGTAGTGGACAACAGGATCATTTGAGTACGAAAAGAGACACATTTGGTAGATACAAATTTTTACAGAGTTCTTACAGATTACAGAGTTTTTATGAACTAAGAATACATACATTTTGGGCTGTAGATTGATTATTATCCAAGAATACAGACATTTTGATTATACAATACACATTAATCATTCTTGAATCCTTTTCCTTACATTTCGCAAGGATAGCTTTACTATTAAAGCTTAACACTTTGTTATGTCCATATCCTTTGATTGGTCCCCTTGAATCCTTTCAGTGTTATTTGAACAATGAACATATAACTAATGTGTAACATATTTATTTTGGATTTTTTCCTTCTGTCAAACTGAATCCAATCTAGCTTTTTCCTTCACTCTTCATTTTGTTCTTAGTATTTTCTTTGTTAGTGGTGAAAGTCCTGGAAGCAATTTCTCTTTTTGGTAATGCAGAGGAACATCTTGCATTTGGTACATCTCATGTACGTCTTGCTCTTGCAGCCCTTATTTCTGCATCTTTCTGCATGCTTGGTATCCATCATCTCAGGCATGTGCATGGCTCCTAGTCTGCGCACAGATGGCTCTGGTTGTGGGATCCTCATTTTAGATGGTGGCTCATACTCAACCTCACTCTCTTCACAGCTGTTTTCCAGTTCCGGACTCTCCAACAGCTCCTCAGCTAGGAGTAGTTTGAAGTCCAGGTACTGATGTGTGTTCTTGGATGGTCTGTGCAGAGCTTTGCTGTCAGACTGGTATTGTATCCAGGAGTTGGTGATGGCAACATCAAAGAAGTGACTGATCACGCGCGATGTCCACTTCTTGGTCCTGCTTGACATACGATAGAAGCTAAGCATGCGATCACAAAGATCTACGCCACCCATGTTATCATTATACTGCTTAATTACTGCTGGTCTTTTAACCTGGACCAGGTGCTTTTCTTTCTGGGACCATCTGGTACAGATGTCTTCTGGGTCTTTCCCATGTACAGTGGATGCCATGAGCACTGGTTTGTTGTCGAACCATTTTGTGATGGCCAGCTCAGGACTCTTTCTGGCCACTGACACTGATGTTCCTCTCCCCTCTTTTTTCAACTGTTTGTCTACTGGCAGCTGGCACAGCTTTGGGACACGGTTCTTCATTATAGTTCCAGTTGCAGGAAGGCCCTTTGCCAGCAATGCATCCAATAGATATATGGTTGTGAAGTACCTGTCAAAGAATATGTGGCTTCCTGTTGGAACAGATTCAACCATGCGTAGAACTGCTGCAGCTCCAACTCCTAACCTTTGGACTGTAAAGGTATTCTTCCCTTGGTAGACTTCAAAATCAAGCATCAGACCATTTGGGGATGCAAGGACAAAGACCTTTAGGCCAGTAGGGTTTGGCTTGCCGGGAACATATTGCCTGACTGGACAACGGCCTGTGAATGGGATGATTTGCTCATCAATGCAGACCCTTTCTGGCTTTGCAAGGCTGAGACAGCCTTGGCGCACACGATCGAGTATTGGCCTGACTTTCCAAAGAATATCTGCCTTCTTTGTTTCCTCTGTTACAGCCAGGTCATTGACAATCTTGAGGGAATTTCTTATCCTGAAGAATCTATCCCTAGTCATTTTGCTACTTATGACTGGCACTTTAGTTTTGTTGGGCCAAAACATTTTAATTCTGGGATAGCCAAGGCAGGCCATGTGGACTGAAATGCCCAAGAAGATTTTTATTTCTTGTGGCGTGGTGTTCATGCACACTCCTTTGATTTGCAGCTCTCTTTGATTTGTGTATGTTGCCAAATCTTCAAAGACCTTGTTGTCAATGTACTGTGAAAAGTATTCAATTGGACTCCAGTCTGCACGTGTTGTAGGGTCATCTTGACACACAGGAAGCCCAGGTAACACAGGTGCAAATCTGATATGAAGGAAAAAAGAATAATAAATGATAAGTAATAACAGTTTAAATACTCAATGCAGCTGAATTTAAAATTGTGGAACTGCATCAAACATACATGTTACTCCTGGCCCACAGAGGGCGACGAGTTTCCTGTTCATCCCTGTCTGTATCTGTGTCTGTGTCTGCATCTGTCCCTTCAACTGAGCCTTCTGCATTGTCTTCCTCTTCTTCATCACCGTTTTGTATCAATGGTTGAAACTTATCCTCATCTCTCTCATCATCTGACAACTCCAAATCTGAATCTCCCTCGACTATTCGGTAAAGAATTCTTTCTGCTTCAGTTCTGTTTCCTACGACAATGTGGAGTCATTATTTACATGAAGATAGTCCTGATGTCCACTATAATTGACATTCATAAAATGGCAAATCTTTCAAAAGATACATAATTTAGTTGCTATCAGAACTAAATATATGATTCCTAACACCTTCATGAACAAGAAAATATATGATTATCATAGTAACAAAACCATAGACAAACAATATTTGACTTACCTCTCATCTTTCCATAAAATGTGCTTGTTCCTTTGCCGTCCATTTTGAAAGGAAAGATAGAGGCGGTTCCCGGCCTCCCAGCCAATCAAATGACATATCACTGAAAAGCCCAGGATGTCCTCTGTACAGTACAGCAGGAATTAAGAGACTTGCACAAAATATTCCAAGAAGAGGGATGAAACTCAAATGTCCACAACAGTGGACATAAGTCAATGGGCGGGGTCTCAGGAGGATATATACACATATACATATACATATATATACACACATATATAGATAGATAGATAGATAGATAGATAGATAGATAGATAGATAGATAGATAGATAGATAGATAGATAGATACCACATGCTCGAACAGAGATGACCTGAGATTTTTTGCCTCCTATGATATTTTGCTTTTCTATGATTATATTATACCCTTTACAGCAGGGGCACATCCGGACAGCTGAGAATATTACTGTCAGATATTGTTCCACCTCTATTAAACAGGAGGCTAAAAATCACAGGACATGTCTATCCTGATGATACAAGTCAGCCGTCCTGAAATGTGTGTTTCTCTTCACATTTCTTCTACACATTCTACATCTCAGAGGCGATGTCTTTCCATAAGCGGGCTTCCTTCACCTTTCAAAGGGGCAGAGCTCCAAATTAAAAATACATTTAAATAATGCCCATATTATTATCTACTCACTTGGAACATGCACACCTCTTGCATTCAGGTGACCACGCATTAGCTTGTAGCCGGTGTTTGGATGACTTCTGTGAATTTCACTTACAATACGGTCTAACTCCTCATCATTCACAGCTGAATAGAGATCTGTCTTTCTGTACAAACAAGAAAAACACAACATCAAGTAATGTTACCTTAAACGTCATATTCTTTCCGAGTGTATGAGAGCAGCAATTCATAAACAGAAAACTCATGAATTTAGTGTAAATACCTTAAACTGTATTGTTGCATGCGCCTCCTGATGGTCCTCTTTGACACACCGAACATCGCTGCAATTTGAACTGCGGGAACTCCACAAAGAAGTTGGTGCTCCAGAACTGCACTCGGTATGTCAAACGCCAAACGCCCCGGTCCCTGTGTGTGTTGGGCCTGAAGTGCCCTGGTACCAGAGAAGCGGTGGACAACTTCTTCTAGATTTGCAATCACTCTGTGGTCGATATCTTCGTCAGAAAGTGCGGAAATGACTCCAACAACTTCAATAAGTTCCTCTGCTTTACTAGCTACATGCTCTGGGTCAGCAGGTCCTGCTTCTACATCCTCTGCTAAGTTTAAAATGTCTCTAACCAACTCCCTGGAAAGTTCACGGAGATCCTCCATTGTCTCTATCCAGGTTGGCCTACTCTCCTTCAGACCAAAGCAATGGATCAGACTAGATTCGCGTTAGCCCCGCCCACTGACTTTGATGGGTCAGTTTGACAGTTTTAAGTAATTCATGAATCACTGCAACGCAGGATCATGAAATGTAAATGTAAATAGTGAAATAATTATATATGTATTTTACATAAAATGAATCGGTATTTGAATTAATTAATGATACATTTAATTACACATTTATGTATTTAATTCTAATTTGAATTAATTAATGACACATTTAAGTAATTATTTAATGGTGTATTTATTTATTTAATTGTGGCACTTTTAGTCCTCCATAGAATAAGACCCTAGATTTTTATTGGAAATGAGCGTCAAGCTCATCACATGCACTTTCACCACCCTGTGAAATTCATCATAATTTATTTAATCTGTAGCCTAATAAACTGTAGGTTTCCCGAGTCGTAGTGGGACAAAACAACATTTAATCGCGTGACTCCAAGTTTACTTCGATATGATGGTTATTATATCAATATTTGCGCATAAAGATGTCCACCGCAATTTCTCACACAATTAATTTTACCGACACAAAAAGGTCCCACCATTTCGAACGAACAAATTGTCTGTCGGCATTTATTCAATTGTACGGGCATATCCTATTTCCATCAGCCCGGTCGTGACTTTTTTCATGAGGCAGGTAATTCATCCGCATGAAATGGTTGGATGGAAACCTGGTTATAGATATGGCTAGTATTTCAACAGCTTACAAATTGTGGTACAGCATCAACAAACATTTTTGACTTCCCCTTGCCTCTTTTCAAGTCACGAGCTTGCTAACGTTAGAGACTATATATCCTCGCCTCCTCAAACCCCTTTGGATGAGAAAGCCAGAGGTCTTTCCCCTCTGACCTCCAATGGGCTTTGAGAAGGGAGAAGGAGGCGAAAAGAGAGGACGCGATGAGGATACAACTGAGATTCTCCCGCTGTCTAGCGCGCGCTCGATATTGTGGTCAATTTGGCAGCAGATGGGAGCAATTTTCATTGTAATTGATTAGTCCTTCTTGTGTAAAACACGCATCATTGGTTATGTTGGTAAATCTTTTTCTTCATACAATATCTGAAATGCAGACTAAAATATTGCATAATACAGGCAGACACGCACGCACCCTATCATATTATTGGGCTATAGTAATGACTAATGTAATTCATTGTAATGACAAATGTAATGTATTCTTATTACTTATGGGCAAACATCTGTTTTTTTGGGGCTCGTTTCCATTTAACTGAAACTGAAAATGTGTATACATTTCTTTATTATAGCATTTTACTATATGCATTACCAACACAATTACATCAAATATTTGGGTACGTTTGGTTAAATACCCCTGGATGATTAAAAAATGTTGGTATAAATGCACATCATCCCCCCGCTTTCTCCCCCAGTGGTAGCGGTAGGAGGGTACGTACGTACGTAGTCAGTTACAGCCACAGCCGCAGCCGCAGCCGCCAATCGACTCGAGGGAGGGACTATGTTGACATAAGAAAGGACTAGGGTCGTTTGTTAGGAGCGGCACAACCATGGACAAGACTGCCGTGGTAAAAGTCGGTGCTGCGGCCAGTGCCAGTGTATGTGCCCTATTCGGTGGTGTGGTTCTCGCCCAGTACATGTTCGCCAAGAAGAAGAGAGCGGGAAAGAAAACGAAGATCATCGAGATGGTGAGTGGACTCGCGCGTGCTGTTCATGCGTGCATTGCGCAGTCCCGGATGTTCGTAGAAATAGCAAGGGTGGTTTAGAGGTCATTATTTGCTACATAGCTATCGTGGTGTCACGAAAAGCTGTCCAAAATCGTGACATGACAGTAAACTGACGCTGTTTGTCAGCTAGTCCTATTGTCCTAATATTTTTGTTGAGAGGATGTTGGTACAATGGTTTGTTTCAGAGTTATGCAAACAATGCAGAGTCCACTCTGCTCTACCCTCGAGTACCCTGTCCAAAATGACAACAACTAAACAAGTTTTGAAGCCAAATTACAGTCTGTCTATCAAACAAGTTCAGTCACTTGTTAAATCCACTTCAATCAGTGTAGATTAAGGGGAGGAGATGGGTTAAAGAAGGATCTTTAAGCCTTGAGACATGGATTGTGTATGTGTGCCATTCAGAGGGTGAATGGGCAAGACAATATTTAAGTGCATTTGAACGAGGTATGGTAGTAGGTGCCAGGCGTACCGGTTTGTGTCAAAAACTGCAATGCTGCTGGGTTGTCCATGCTCAACAATTTCCTGTGTATATCAAGAATGGTCCACGACCCAAAGGACATCCAGCCAACTTGACACAACTGTGGGAAGCATTGGAGTCAACATGGGCCAGCATCTGTGTGGAACACTTTTCACACCTTGTAGAGTCCATGCCCTGACAAATTGAGGCTGTTTTGAGGGCAAAAGGGGGTGCAACTCAATATTAGAAAGTTGTACTCAGTGTATGTCTATTCTCTATATTCTAATCCTGAAGATACCTTTTGGTATTCTGTTTCACAGAACCTAGATAGTAGGCCAATGGGTGGGCATGAAATTTAGCGTGTTGACCCATTCAGTCACACCAAACTAATTCCAGGAATGACCTGTTGGCTGCTCTATTCCCTACTGTCTGACTGGGGTTCTATTTAGGCAACCTTTGCTCTCTGCTTTTCATTACATTGTCCCCAGCATGGGAAGGACATATGCTTTTGATGATGGCTCAACTGTTGCAAACACACACATCCACTCCAAAGTATCCAGTTGAAGCAAGCATGCGCATGTAGCCTGATGTCCCAGCCCACAGTGGTGTCCTGTTGGGGTCAATGATATGCATCTACTCTACAACATGGTTGGAGTTTTGGATGGAAATGGTCTCATGTATTGAACCTCATTGGCCACTAGATGGCAGGCAAGAACAACATTTGGAACGCTTCATGCTTGCTCTCAAGCAAATAAACACTCACTCCACTTTCTCCATGGGGAAATTGGCAATAGACAGTCTTGCTCAGCGCTTTACTTCACATTGGACATATTTTTCAGTTTGATCTATGTAGATATTTTAGAAAAATATTGTTACACCATGTACTAGTATTATGGTGTGTGAAGTTTCCCAAAAACGTTCGTTCATGATCTTACTACTACAAAGCTTTCAATATTACTTTAAAAGTATTACTTTGACTCCAGCATAGAACCAGTGTCTTTACATTATGGTTAGGCCTATATAGTGTGTAGGAGCCGGTTTGGCCTGTTTATGTGTTGTGTATATGTTTTCTGTCAAGGGTCAGTTTTACTTGTTTTGTACACTAGAGGGCACTATATGTTAGTCACAGGTCACGTGTGTGTGTATATAGGTAGCACAGGTTACCAGGAAGGGTTAGCACAGGTGAGAGGAGAGCGCATACAGTTCTTACTGTATCACAGATACAGCTTATAGCATGCATCTCTCTGCACCTTTTGTATAGGAATATGTGTATTGGAGCTATTTATATTTTATATGCGCAATAAATGGGAACTTCACCCAAAAAGAGTAACGTTTGGAAAGCAGATTTTTGTGGATGTGTTATGGACAGCTCTCTCCTGTGCCAGTGGCTTTTCATAGGGAATCACCACCACACAGTGGTTAAGTCACTCAACAAAGTCTAGACCTAAATAGTCCAAGGAAGGGTGAACAACACAATACAGAGTACAGGCGTATATTGCTGGATAAGTGGCCTTGTTAGGCTGAGGTCACAGAAATGTTCTCTCTGGTTTCTCCTGTGTCATGGCAGGCTTAACCAGGGGCAACAGAGTTACAACCTTCCTCCTTTGCAGAGAGGGAGTTTATCTAAGACAGAGCGGCCTGTGCCTGTGCTGTGGTGATACTGTTAGCTGAAGAGCTCTTACAGCAGACACTGTCCACTTTACTGTCTAATTACTTATTCATATTTATGAGGCATGGAGTGGAGTATAGGGCCAAGGGGATCTGTCTGTCTCTGTTTCTCTTATAACTTTCTTTCAATGGGGAAGACTTCTAATAGGACAATTTCTACTCCTGCACAGAGCCAATAAGAGAAAATACTGTTTTGGGTTTTTCATTGGGCACTAGAAGTTTTAAGAGAAACTCATTCTAATGAGAGTGTTATTAAGCTATCATGAAATGTTCTGTGGTAATGTGGATGATACTTTGCCAAACTAAATAGGGCCCAACCACAGCCCTACTTTTATCACAGAGCAGCACATGCAGCTTATCAGAATGCTGTTCCTGGCAACCAGGAACCACTTCAAATGATTGGATGTGCTGCAAAGTTACAATTTTGGCTCAAAGTCAAAACTCATGAACTAAAACATTGTCAGCAGCATGCCCTTGCAGCCCTTATTAAAGTATTTATTTATCTTCTGCCCTTGTTCCCCATAGTAGGTCTTGTATTTACATTTGCTGGAGAAATGTTCTGTAGATCATCTTACATTGACTGATTCACCCCAGAGAACCACTCTTCCCTATATCTGTGTAGGCATAATGCTGTCACAAAGGCTCAGGTAAATGGACATGCATAGCCCTATTGTTATCTCTAGCCAAATGCCTCAAAGCACCTCTTCCACTCTGTTGTTGCACAATGGCTGATAGTAGTCTGAATGCAGACTACTACGAATTAACTCCAACCCGCATACTCTGCTCTAGCACTATGTCCTCTATAACCTTTGACTTTAGTGAACAAGGCTGGGGGTGAGGACGAGACGCGCTCCGCTGTAGAAAGGAATGTTGAGCCAGCACTTTCACGAATGTTGAAAAAGTACCAAAACTGACAATGGGTTTTAAATGGTGTTTCCCCTAGTTAGATTTTTTTTCGGGTGAGGCAGAATCGCCAATGGATTCCCTTTCAGCACCTGATGTGTGACAGCTTTCCCAATGATTGTAGAAAATGTAAGCCTATTTATGGGGGGAAAAAAACATTTTAGATTAGGTGGAACCTGTTTTTGTATATCCTTGTCGTTTTATGTCTTATACAGAAGACTGCATAAGTGTATCTGTTTTAGCCTACTGCCCCTAGGCTTGGGTGGAGAGAGATTGGATTTCTCATCTACAAATGATACCAGTGTCAGAAACCCAATGGTAGAGAAAATGCAGACCTGAATATGATTGGCCAGCCCTTGCGTTGTCTAGTTATTTGATCAATGTTGATTGGATAGGTGTGTGTATGTAGTCTTATTTTGGTGAAGTTTGATTGGGACTCTGTGCCCTAGTTAGGCCTATTGAAAGGTGGTATGAGACCCTGCAGCTGAGGTAGGGTTTCTCTTGTCCTAGCATGCTATGTGCTAGGCCTAAGTAATGACTGACTGTGACAGAGCTCTTAGATATTGCCACATTCACATGCTAGTCAGAACTAGGAAACTCTGAAACTTCCGACTTGCTAACTGGTTATACAGGCATATAACCTACAGAAAAAAAACTCAGATGGCTTCTCATTGGTGGAGAGCAAAGTGGCTGAACCATGACCCTTTGACCCTGGGCATTCCATAGCCACACACACACCGTGTTGGGCAGGGGAGGGGTCTTGAAATGTGTGTGCTCAGCGTTGGTGGAGAAATGCACCTCAGTGTTTCGTCCCTGGCCTGGCAATAATCCAGAGAAGTAGGAGGGCTGTTTCTGTTGCATCATGTGATTGAAATGGATTCCAGTTACAGTACCTCTTTTAAAAGCTGAGGGGCCAGGGTCAGAGGTCAAAGGTAAACTACTGCCATGGGGCTATTCCCTGTCATCTCTCATCTACTGGCCGTGTGTGTGTGTGTGTTATGACATGTTAATTTAATCTTTGTGTGTCCTGTGTGTTTATGGCATGTTAATTTAATCTTTGTGTGTCCTGTGTGTTTATGGCATGTTAATTTAATCTTTGTGTGTCCTGTGTGTTTACGGCATGTTAATTTAATCTTTCTGTCCTGTGTGTTTATGGCATATACATTTAATCTTTGTGTGTTTATGACATGTAAGTTGAAGCTGTGTTTGTGTCAGTGCGTCACTGGCCTCTTATAACGGGGAGGGATTATCTGATCAAATCTATTTTGGGTGACGCCCCCTCAGTTGCGTTGCCTATATAATCCCTCTGCTGACAGAGAACCTTTTCTTCACTCGCTTCACTTTTTTGCGCAAGACCAGTGGAAAAGGTAAGCGTGTGTGTGTGTTGTTGGTCAGAGCCCTGCTGTTAGCACCAGCTACAAATCGCTCTGGAGGGTCACGTTCATGTGTCGGAGAAAGGATGTACTGAATGCATGGAAGAAGATGGGAATTCATGGAATATTATGTAGTCTATACTGTAAAATATAATCAGAGGAGGGTGTGTTAATAATTGATAGTTGTAAATAGGTATGACTGGTATACGGAGCTATTAGTGTGTGGATTCTGCTAAGTTTGTAACTCATTCTTGAATATTAGATCTAAAGGTGTAGTCTCAGTGTTTTTAAGACCGAAGAATGTTGTCAATGTAGCCTTTGTATCTGGAACGGTGTTTATTAGAAGACATTGTGACACATGACATTGCGTAAACAACTCAAATGTACCAAAGGAGAGGTTGTTCTGTTCCATGGATCAGGGATCTAAATCTGTTTTGGAAGACTTAAAGGAGTCCGGAGCCCCAGTCTATTACATAAAGTGTAGTGAGAGGGTTGTAAGAAGGGGTGGGGTGAAGGGGTTCCAAACTTCAACCCACATCCTGGTCATAACCTTGGACACTCCCACTGATACCACAGAACAGTCTTGCTACACTATTGCATACCATTTTGATGGGTGTGTGTGCACAGTTGTTTGTTCATGGGGTGTGGGCTATTTCGATACTCAAACACACTCTGGTGAAGGAATCCCCAGGTATCTAGTTTACACCCCCTATCCCCAGCTCCATCCCCCCTTCAGTCAAGGTTGGGCTTTATTAGCAACCTTAAAAATACACTCAAGGGGAGAAAGGGGTGTGCACACACACCAGCTGGAGGTAGTATTCATGGTTCGTTGCATTCCTGCCCTGACATGTCAACAGGCCTTCAACTGAGCTATAGATCTGTTTGTCTCTCTCACTTCTCCACCTGAACCTAGTTCATTGCCTGATCATTAGCCTAATACTGTAGTTAGATCACCAAGTCACGTAGCTAAGAGTCAATAGAAAATATTGGTGTCTGCAGCCCTGGAAGTTGTTTGTTTCAGGTCTCCTCCCCCCTCCTGGCCTGGGGCTTGTTTGTGTGGTGGTCAGTTATGTCAGGAAGGAGGATCCCTAACATCAGCTGTTCCATGGGGGGCTGGGGCACAAGGGGAGGGGGGTGTTGTGATATCCAGTTTGTCTACTCCTGGCTACCTTGGCCCAAAAAAATTATGGTGCTCTTTTAAACTCGGGGGGGGGGCATGGGCAAGTTGCAGCGGAGGGTGCTTGTGTATATTGGTTCCTAACTTCCCTGAAAGGTTGCATATCGCGGGGGCCATTCGATGCTAATGCAGTACGCCACAGGATGTTTTTGTGCTGGTCAAGGGCAGTCAAGTCTGAGGAGAACCAGGGGCTATATCTGTTCTTAGTTCTGAATTTTTTGAATGGGGCATGCTTATTTAAGATTGAGAGGAAAGCACTTTTTAAAGAACAACCAGGCATCCTCTACTGACGAAATGAGATCGATATCCATCCAGGATACCTCGGCCAGGTCAATTAGGAAGGCCTGCTCGCTAAAGTGTTTTAGGGAGCGTTTGACAGTGATGAGGGGTGGTCGTTTGACCGCGGACCTGTTACGGACGCAGGCAAAAAGGCAGTGATCGCTGAGATCCTGGTTGAAGACAGCGGAGGTGTATTTAGAGGGTAAGTTAGTCAGGATGATATCTATGAGGGTGCCCATGTTTACGGATTTAGGGTTGTACCTGGTAGGTTCCTTGATAATTTGTGTGAGATTGAGGGCATCTAGTTTGGATGGCCGGGGTGTTAAGCATATCCCAGTTTAGGTCACCAAGCAGGATAGATGGGGGGCAATCAATTCACATATGGTGTCCAGGGCACAGCTGGGGGCTGAGGGGGGTCTGTAGCAAGCAGGCAACAGTGAGACTTATTTCTGGAAAGGTGGATTTTTAGAAGTAGGAGCTCAAACTGTTTGGGCACAGATCTGGATAGTATGATAGAGCTCTGCAGGCTATCTCTACAGTAGATTGCAACTCCACGCCCTTTGGCAGTTCTATCTAGACGGAAAATGTTGTAGTTGGGGATGGACATTTTCTGAATTTTTGGTGGCCTTCCTAAACCAGGATTCAGACACTGCTAGAACATCAGGGTTGGCGGAGTGTGCTAACGCAGTGAATAACTCAAACTTAGGGAGGAGGCTTCTGATGTTAACATGCAAAAAACCAAGGCTTTTACGGTTACAGAAGTCAACAAATGATAGCGCCTGGGGAGTAGGAGGGATACTGGGGGCTGCAGGGCCTGGGTTAACCTCTACATCACCAGAGGAGGACTAGAATAAGGATACGGCTAAAGGCTTTAAGAACTGGTCTTTTAGTGCGTTGGGTACAGAGAATAAAAGGGGCAGATTTCTGGGCGTTGTAGAATAGATTCGGGGCATTATGTACAGACAAGGATATGGAAGAATATGAGTACAGAGGAGGTAAACCTAAGCATTGGGTAACAATGAAAGAGATGGCATCACTGGAGGCACCGATTTGAGCCGGTCTCCGCGTGTATGGGGGTGGAACAAAGGAGCTATTTGAGGCAGTTTTAGAGGGACTTGGGGCTCTACAGTGAAATTGTATAATAAGAAGTAACTGGAACAGCAATAGGCAAGGCATATTGACATGGGAGAGAGGCATAAAGCAATCACAGGTGTTATTCGAGAGAGCTAAGACAACAACTGGTAATGGCGATGAAAGTTTGGGCTGAGGCTAAACCGATAAACAGGACAGGGTACCGTGTAAAGGAACAGTCCAGAAAGCATCAGCTGTGCAGCTGAGTGATCATAAGGTCCAGTAAACAGCAATATGTGAGTCCGAGAGCAGTTCGAATTGGTGCTACAGCACAGGCGAGCAAGAAGCACGGCTGTTGAATTGCGTGTGCTAGCGGGCCGGGGCTAGCAGATGGATCTTCGTGGTCGTCGCAACAGGGAAGCCTGTTGAAACCACAGACCAGTCGTGATGTATCGGCGGGGCTCCGTGTCGACACTAGGAGGTCCCGTCCGGTTGACAGAGAGGTAGATAGCCGGGAGATGGGCCTGACTCGAGGCTAGCTCAAGGCTGATTAGCCAACAACAACATCCATTCGGTTGCAGCTAGCTAGTTGCGATGATCCGGTGTTAAAGGTCCAGTGATTCAGTGATTCCGGCAGAAAATCCGATATGTTCTGGGTCGATAACGCGCTGTGCAGACAGTGCAGACTGGCCGATAATAGTCCAGGCTAGAGCTGGCTGGTAGGTAGTGCAGGCCACGGACAATGGTGAAAAACCGCTAACGGTGGCTAATAGCAAGTAGCTAGTCAGCTGGCTATTCCCGTCCGGTAGACCGAGGTAGATAGCCGGGATATGGGCCTGGCTCGAGGCTAGCTCAAGGCTAACTGGTGCTTACTTCGGGGGCAGTGGTGATTAGCCAACAGCAACATCCATTCGGTTGCGGCTAGCTAGTTGCGATCCGGTGTTAAGGTCCAGTGATTCAGTTATTCCGGCAGAAAATCCGATGTTCTGGGTGAAAACTGCTAACGGTGGCTAATAGCAACTAACTAGTTTCAACTGGAGATTCTAGATGATAAAAGGTAAGTAAAAATAGAATCCGTTCCACATTGAGTGAGGCGGGTTGCAGGAAAGTATATTTAGTAGATGGATGAAAAGTGTGATAGGGAAATATATACGAAAAAGACAAAAAAAGCAAAAAACTGGCTATTTACACGGACACACTACAGAGTACACGACCACACTGCTACACCATCTTGGAACATCTGGGTCTTCCTTTCCTGAGGCGGTCCTCATGGGAGCCAGTTTCATCATAGCGCTTGATGGTTTTTGTGACTGAACTTTCAAAGTTCTTGAAATGTTCTGTATTGACTGACCTTCATGTCTTAAAGTAATGATGGACTGTCGTTTCTCTTTGCTTATTTGAGCTGTTCTTGCCATAATATGGACTTGGTATTTTACCAAATAGGGCTATCCTCTGTATACCCCCCTACCTTGTCACAACACAACTAATTGGCTCAAACGCATTAAGAAGGAAAGACATTTCACAAATTAACATTTAACAAGGCACACCTGTTAATTGAAATGCATTCCAAGTGACTACCTCATGAAGCTGGTTGAGAGAATGGCAAGAGTGTGCAAAGCTGTCATCAAGGCAAAGGTTGGCTGGTACTGTATATTAGAAGCATACTTGACGATCTCTTTCTGTGTCTTTCGCTCTCCATCTCTCAGATGCCAGAGTTTGAAAAGAACACGGTCCACATGAGGGATCCAGAGCGGGTGGAACAGATCATCTGTGGCATGATCAAGGGTGGAGCCTCCAAACTACAGGTACAGTAAGAGGGGAAGGGTGTGCAAAAGAAATGGGCTGTTTTGTATTGGATGAACAGTGACACCCTGTGGTGACAGTAGGATGACCACAGAGTTATCACTGACTCACCTCTATGGCTCTCCTGGTTCGTCTTTAGATCATCACTGACTTTGACATGACATTAAGCCGGTTCGCAGTCAACGGCAAACGCTGCCCCACGTGTCATAGTAAGTACAACATAAAACCAGCTCAACATTCACTGGGATTCTGAATAAGTTACCTGCCTATCAGTCTGACCAAAGTCCTTCTCTCCACATAGATATCATTGACAACTGCAAGCTTGTCACCGAAGATTGTAGGACGAAGGTTTGTTTATGATGTTACTTTGATATTGCTTAATAGTATTTGTAGGTGTCACAAAAGCATAAATGTACTAGCATATGTGTTAATGCTAATTGATTTTCCGTCTGTCTTTTAGTTACTGGAACTTAAGAACACATATTACCCCATAGAGATCGACCCCCATCTAACAATGGAGGAGAAGTATCCATTTATGGTAGAATGGTGAGTAGAAGCGCGCGCACACACACACACACACACACACACACACACACACACACACACACAATTGCTCTCACTAAGGCACAGTCTGTGTGTGTGTTGACAGGTATTTTAAGTCCCACACATTACTGGTGGAACAGAGGCTACAAAAGGACAAACTCTCCGAGGTGGTGAGAGACTCGGACGCCTGCCTGAGGTAAGACCTGATAGAAAAATTTGAAATAATTACAGAAAGCAGCCCATGACACTAGTTGAGCCAGAGTGGCTGTTATTGCCTCTTCATGAACACAAGCTCTACGAAATAGTATGTGTCTAGCTGTGTATGTACAGTATAATTTGTTAATATTTGTCTGTGAATAGTTTTCATTCATATAAGCTGTATGTCTGTCCTACAGAGAGGTCTATTGGTAGTTTTAATGCTTACATGTCTGTCCTACAGGGAGGGCTATGAGCAGTTCTTTGACCGGCTCCAGCAGCACAACGTGCCCGTGTTCATCTTCTCAGCGGGTCTGGGAGACGTCCTGGAGGAGATCATCCACCAGGCAGGGGTCTACCACCCCAACGTCAAGGTGGTCTCCAACTTTATGGACTTCGACGAGAATGTAAGTCCCCCCCTGTCCCTCGAGGAGAACTTGGTACATGCTGAGGATAGGCCTGAGTTTCTGAGTGTTGATAAAGCTGATAATAAAGCAATGGTTCTACCTGGGTGTATGCATTGCATTAGCATCAGTTGGCTCAGTTCCATTTAAACTCTAGTATTTTTCTTCTCTCAGGGCGAGCTGAGGGGCTTCAAGGGAGAGCTGATCCATGTTTTCAACAAGCACGACGGCGCCCTGCGCAACACGGAGTACTTCAAACAGGTGAAGGACAACTGCAACATCGTGCTGCTGGGAGACTCGTTAGGCGACCTCAACATGGCTGACGGTGTGCCCAACGTGGAGAACATCCTCAAGATCGGATTCCTCAACGACAAGGTGCCCGACACCTACACCTAAATCGCCAGTCAGCAACTCTATCTGCTCCCATCACCAGCTAAATTGCTGGATATTAATAGTCTTAAGATGTGACTATAGTGAGTATGTGCTGTGTCTGCGCCAATCTGCGTAGTAACTCTTCTCTCTTCCCTGGCAGGTGGAGGAGCGTTTGGCGAAATATCTGGACTCTTATGACATCGTCCTGGTAAAGGACGAGACTCTAGAAGTGCCCAATTCCATCCTTCAGAAGATTCTATAACTCCTCCCCCCTCCCCCTCCATATCATACTGACACACTTCCCCAAACCCATGGAAAAGGAACCGACCCCCAGACGGATGTTACTGGCCCCCCCCCGCCACCGACTCACAGCCTCTCGACAGACACTAGCTCCATGGACGCGCCTTTCACCTTTTTATGAAGACATTTATTCTTCTCTGAATGAACTATTTTAATGTACACAGCATCAGTCTTTGTTTGTGTCTGTATGTCTGTCTGCAACCTTGTCAACATCCTCCACCCCATAACAAAAAATGAATAGCAACCAAAAAAAAGACATGCGAACAAACTCTTTTATAATTTGCACATTATTGTTATTCATAATATTTTTGATATTGTACTTGTATCAGTGTACAAAGCTTGCAAATCATAAACCGAGCATCCACACAAGAACACAGCGACGTCTTTGAAACAGTCCTAGCATGCATTTCACCACACTACGTCATCTTGCATTGTGCAACAGTTTGGTTACAGGAATCAATGTAGGTCTGAAAAAATAACTAACCTGTCTATGGGTGAACCATACACTCACAGACATTGGTATGAATATTATCAGTCGTTTTAAGGATGTAGTAATGGATTCTGTCTTGCACAAGAAAAGCCATGTATACACCTCCATTATGAGTTTTTTCACATGGGGACTTTGCTACGGTAGCCACACTGCAAAGTAGCACTTTATTTTACAGGAGTACTAACACTGCACATTTGATGTGCCATTTAAATAGACTGCATGTTTATAATAGATACCCTATGGTGCTTATATCAAGAATTTAAACAAAATTGTCAACGACAGTTGCAATAAGAGTAGTAAATAGTGGTGCTAAATATTTTTCTAAGTTAGTTGTGGGGTATTACTGTTAGTGTAAGCTCTTTATGAATGATATAGTGTAAAATAAAGTGCTACCAAAGAAGTCATTACACAGAGGAAAAGTAGCCTACTCAATAGGCAGTACATTACAAGAGAACACCGCTGGGTAAAGCATTGTTGTCTGTGGATCAGCGACATTCAATAAGACTCATATTTTGTTTAATTTGGCTTTTTATCCACACCCATTGACCTTTTTTTTAAATTTTGTGGTTCAAATTTTAACTACCTCAAGCTTTGAACTGTTTCTCCACCCCCTTTTAAGTTTCTCAGTTTTGTCTTGCACATGTTTGTTGACGTTATATTTAAAATGTTAGCGTTTTAAATGTGCTGCTACACCTGCATGTTGCCTTTTCTTAACTTTGAATTCGTCTAAAGTACAGGGGGGAAAAACATGTCAATAAAACTTGTCAAATAACAAATAGGGGTTCTCTGTTCAACTGTATAATCAAGGTTGTGTGGAGATTGTGGTTGAAACCAAGCTGTAATACTAAAATAGACCTCTAGATGACAACAAAGTCCAAATAAATGTGAAGTTTTCACTGTAGTTGGTTACAAAAGACATGTCTGCAAAATCCATACATACGTGGCATTCTAGTGCTGGGCTTTGTCCTTATTCATCCACATGGCTCGTTGGTCTAGGGGTATGATTCTCGCTTAGGGTGCGAGAGGTCCCGGGTTCAAATCCCGGACGAGCCCTATTTTTACTAAAAATACTGAACCGAATGACTGAGACACAAATTATTGTAATAAAGACTAACGTGTGAAACATTACGGATATACAAGAAATCCCTGAGTGAGTTCCAAGATGCACAAGGCAACATATTATTGAGAAATTGGTTGCAAATCTATGGTTAGAATACAGTTTTCATTCCATGGACCTTGGAATAAGATTGGATGTGCCATTCAATTGCTATATTATCATTAAGTTTTAATGTCACATGCACAAGTACAGTGAAATGCCTTTCTTGCAAACTCAAAACCCAACAATGCAATAACAATGTAATACTAGAGGAAAAAAAACACGAGAAATAAGAAATATGCCTCAAACATATGGGTGTGTAATATATAAGCAATTAACTGTTATTAGATTAAAACTTTTATATATTTTGCATTTCATATCGAACATATTTTAGTAAAATGTAATGTGCAATCACGTGATTAGATTCAGATCATTTTACCTGCTCTTACCTGAACATTTGTAGTCTCGTGCACCAGACAAGAACGTCTGCGCAGAATAAAAACTCAGTTTCCCATAAATCTGTGAGTTTCTGATCATGCGCGCAAGTACTCGAGTCTATAGTTAGTGTCACTGCTATGACAACAGGGAGATGGCTTCAAGCAAGTTGATGAGGCACACTCAAAATGTGATTTTTATCTGAACTGCGAACCCCATACGTTTACATACAGGTTCGTCTTGTCAGAGGTAAGAGAGGCACGTTTAGAATTTGGGAATGTCGCTGGAATGTTGAAACTAGACGCTTGTTAGCCTCCAAGCCATGCACAAGCACAGCCAGCGCTAATTAGCCAGCTAACTAGCTCGAGGTGTTTCCTGGGTGGCTAGCTTGCTACTGCTTGCTTGTTACCTATAGAGAATCATGCAAGTCGTCCAGTTTAGTTTGTTTTTGTTCTGTTCATAACAATAGTTCAACACATGGACAATGCTTGCACGCAGCCCCTACTAGCTAGCTAGTTTTATCAACAGATTCTGCATGTTGATGTTGCTAACTAGATAACGTTACTAAGGTTAGATCTAGCTGGTTATGTGAAAATCATTCTATGCACCGCTAATGAAATGGAATCTAGAGCTCTGCTGATATGCATGGCACACCTGGATAATGTTGAATTATGATGTGGTTGATTGTCGAATGCTGGCTGTGCTTTGCTCTCTGTTAAGTAGATGAAAAGGGGCTGCTGAAAAGTCTTGGCCATGATAGTCTCGTGGGCAGGTGGTATAAGGCTACAAGCTATAGGCCTATAATATTCCACTTGTATAACCTTTCAAAATCGAAATAATAAGGCTGTTATTTTAGTCGTTATATATGGTCTTGGTGTAGAGGGAGGGGGATTCTCTAATTTTCTCTCTCTCTATGGATTAGCTGTCCATTCCACCTGCTCAGCAGTTGGCAATTAGGAAAGCTGCTTGGCCCACGCCCTGATACAATCCCTGGTCATGTGACTCAGCTGTCATTGGCTAGTGTAACAGTCTTACTGTCAGTGTCACACATAGACCACTGTCCAAACCTCCCTCTGGGTCCTGGAGTCAAAGAAACATCAGCATGTAGCCTATATAGGTCTACTGTAAGAGGTAGGCGCTAATCCCCTACAATAAAAGCAAATGATCAGTGAATTACTAGACACACACACAAGCTAGCTTGATAAAGCACTGCAAATCTGAGGCTGGCACCCATGAGGCTTAGAGTGAGTTAAAGTAGGATTAGACAGATCATGCCATATAAGAGACTAGGTGGTATACATGAACGCCAACTCTTCCAATCGTTTCATCCTTCCATTTGGTTCCAAGTGGGATAGACAAACAGCAGGTATCAGCCATATTGCTTTCACCTGTCCATTATTTTTAAATGAAGGAGAGGAGATGAAGAAGTGTATCGATGAGTGTCAGTCAGCCTGCTGGTCACGTGTGGAAGACTGAAAAGCAGTGTTATGTGTATGGTGTCCACTAGAGCGGCGATATGACCCTCTGTGTGTTTGTCTCTGTCTGTGTCTTTCTGTGTGTCTGTTTGTCTCCTCTGCAGTAGCATGTCTCTGTTCAAGGCACGTGATTGGTGGGCCACGGTGCTGGGCGAGGGGGAAGAGTTTGACCAGGGATGCCTTTGTGTCGGAGATGTGGACAACAGCGGCAGCGGACATGGTGAGAACGTGTGGGGTCATGTTGTGTCTGACTGCACTCTGCACTACAAAGACACTGTTCACTAATAGACCCCAAAAAAACAATGAGAGTGAAAGTACCCCTGGTACCATAGTCTTATTTACATGCACAAATCAGATTTGTTCATTGACTTGATTTCCTGGATCTTTATTACCATGTTTAAAACATTCAATTTGCCTTCTTGATACATAGCACATACACTGAGTGTACAAAACATTAAAAACACCTTCCTAATATTGAGTTGCACCCCCCCTTTTTGCCCTCAGCACAGCCTCAATTCATCAGGGCATGGACTCTACAAGGTGTCGAAAGCGTTCCACAGGGATGCTTGCCCATGTTGACTCCAATGCTTCCCACAGTTGTGTCAAGTTGACTGGATGTCCTTTTGGTGGTGGACCATTCTTTATACACACGGGAAACTGTTGAGCGTGAAAAACCCAGCAGTGTTGCTGTTCTTGACACAAACCGGTGCGCCTGGCACCTACTACCATACCCTGTTCAAAGGCACTTAAATATTTTGTCTTGCCCATTCACACATACACAATCCATGTCTCAATGCTTCAAAATCCTTCTTTAACCTGTCTCCTCCCCTTCATCTACACTGATTTGGAATGGCTTTAACAAGTGTCATCGATAAGGGATCATAGCTTTCACCTGGATTCACCTGGTCAGTCTGTCATGGAAAGAGCAGCTGTTCATAATGATTTGTACAATCAGTGTACAATGAAGGGAGCAATATGAGACATTAGAAAATACAATGTACAAAAACATAAGTATGCAGTGTGTATGTCCTCTCTCCTGTAGATAAGATAGTGGTGGGCAGCTACATGGGCATGCTGCGGATCTTCTCCCCCCACCCTGCCAAGCCTGGAGAGCCCAGCCCGGCAGACAGCCAGCTACTGGAGATGCAGTTCAGAGACCCCGTCATCCAGGTTGAAGTGGGCAAGTTTGTCTCGTAAGTACCAGGGCACACGCACCTACTGCTCAAATAGTATGCTACACACACCTACTGCTCTGGGATGTACAGTGAGGGAAAAATGTATTTGATCCCCTGCTGATTTTGTACGTTTGCCCACTGACAAAGACATGATCAGTCTATAATTTTAATGGTAGGTTTATTTGAACAGTGAGAGACAGAATAACAACAAAAAAATCCAGAAAAACGCATGTCAGAAATGTTATAAATTGATTTATATTTTAATGAGGGAAATAAGTATTTGACCCCTCTGCAAAACATGACTTAGTACTTGGTGGCAAAACCCTTGTTGGCAATCACAGAGGTCAGACGTTTCTTGTATTTGGCCACCAGGTTTGCACACATCTCAGGAGGGATTTTGTCCCACTCCTCTTTGCAGATCTTCTCTAAGTCATTAAGGTTTCGAGGCTGACGTTTGGGCAACTGAATCTTCAGCTCCCTCCACAGATTTTCTATGGGATTAAGGTCTGGAGACTGGCTAGGCCACTCCAGGACCTTAATGTGCTTCTTCTTGAGCCACTCCTTTGTTGCCTTGGCCGTGTGTTTTGGGTCATTGTCATGCTGGAATACCCATCCACGACCCATTTTCAATGCCCTGGCTGAGGGAAGGAGGTTCTCACCCAAGATTTGACGGGACATGGCGCCGTCCATCGTCCCTTTGATGCGGTGAAGTTGTCCTGTCCCCTTAGCAGAAAAACACCCCCAAACATAATGTTTCCACCTCTATGTTTGACGGTGGGGATGGTGTTCTTGGGGTCATAGGCAGCATTCCTCCTCCTCCAAACCCTGCGAGTTGAGTGCCAAAGAGCTCGATTTTGGTCTCATCTGACCACAACACTTTCACCCAGTTCTCCTCTGAATCATTCAGATGTTCATTGGCAAACTACAGACGGGCCTGTATATGTGCTTTCTTGAGCAGGGGGACCTTGCGGGCGCTGCAGGATTTCAGCCCTTCACGGGGTAGTGTGTTACCAATTGTTTTCTTGGTGACTATGGTCCCAGCTGCCTTGAGATCATTGACAAGATCCTCCCGTGTAGTTCTGGGCTGATTCCTCACCGTTCTCATGATCATTGCAACTCAACGAGGTGAGATCTTGCATGGAGCCCCAGGCCGAGGGAGATTGACAGTTATTTTGTGTTTCTTCCATTTGCGAATAATCGCACAAACTGTTGTCACCTTCTCACCAAGCTGCTTGGCGATGGTCCTGTAGCCCATTCCAGCCTTGTAGACCTGTAGGTCTACAATCTTGTCCCTGACATCCTTGGAGAGCTCTTTGGTCTTGGCCATGGTGGAGAGTTTGGAATCTGATTGATTGATTGCTTCTGTGGACAGGTGTCTTTTATACAGGTAACAAGCTGAGATTAGGAGTGTGCTCCTAATCTCAGCTCGTTACCTGTATAAAAGACACCTGGGAGCCAGAAATCTTTCTGATTGAGAGGGGGTCAAATACTTATTTCCCTCATTAAAATGCAAATCAATTTATAACATTTTTGACATGCGTTTTTCTGGATTTTTTTGTTGTTATTCTATCTCTCACTGTTTAAATAAACCTACCATTAAAATTATAGACTGATCATTTCTTTGTCAGTGGGCAAATGTACAAACTCAGCAGGGGATCAAATACTTTTTTCCCTCACTGTATGCTAATGATGCTCTCACTTACTCTTTATTTATTTTATTTTACCTTTATTTAACTAGGCAAGTCACTTAAGAACAAATTCTTATTTACAATGACTGCCTACACCGGCCAAACCCGGACGACGCTGGGCGCTGTGCGCCGCCCTATGGGACTCCCAATCACGGCCGGTTGTGATACAGCCTGGAATCGAACCAGGTGGTCTGTAGTGACGCCTCAAGCACTGAAATGCAGTGCCTTAGACCGCTGCGCCACTCGGGAGAGGGGGAACTCTAAGCAATCACTCAGTCATCGTGTTAATAATGCCTTTTCTCCTCCCCCCTCTCTGGCACTCAGAAGTGTGGCCTGGAATTGCAGGTCAAATGGGCAATCATGGCATTAACTAAATATAGCCCTGCTTACAACATGAAGTACCACCTCACGAATGGAACTCTCTACCCTCATTGTCCTACATCACTGCCGAAGGACTAGAGTCACACAGGAATGATGATGTCACGTGTTGGGAGTCAATGGCTTTTCCTGTTGCTTCCTAAATACACATTAGTTTCATGTACATAATTCAGTCATAAGTAGGGCCAAGGGTTTCTCCTGATCACATGACCTTGCTGACCCTAGTCATGACACCGTCGTGAACTCCTGACCCTAGTCATACTGTCAGGCTGTGAAATCCCCTGTACCACAAAGTCAAGAGGTAGTTGCTGTCACGGCGTTTGGTTATCCACTGAATAGACATGAATGGAGTTCATGAACCTTGGCATTGACTGTAACTTTATTATTGTCTGAATCTGCTTCCAGTACATCCTGACCACCATGTCATGAGTTCAGCTCTCTCCATGTGATTTATCATACCATATCAACCACCTAGTCTCAAACTTGGCTGGGCCCACTACTTTAGCCTAACCACCAAGTTAACGGCACATAGTTGGAGACACCCCAGGGTCCCATTTCAAGATGTTGTTAAAGGAAATTTTGTTCTCAAGGACTTTAACTTGCTAAATACAGGTTGAGTAAATACTCAAATATTTTGAACAAAAAATGTCAAGCGCTAGACTGAAACCACCATTGCCCCCTCTGCTCTCCCCATGGCCAAAAGTATTCAAGTAAGAGGAGAAAGAGGGGGATGGGAGGAGAAAGATGGCGAGAAAGGGAGGAATGGTGAGGGAAGACGGGAATGTTGGGATATGTCATCACGGTGGTACATTCCTGGGTGCACAGGGACCTCCTGGAGAGACAGGCTTCCGGGAAAAGCCGGGCACTTTTCCAAAAGCTTTTCCCACAAAGGGGATGTATGAGTCAAAGGATTCCTTCATCTGTTTGTTTGCATTTTATGTTACTGTATGTTTTGGGGAAGCTGGTTTCGGTTAGCATTTTTAATGACCATTGAGTGTTCCCTAAATGGAGAAACACATTGTAAATATTGTCTCTAGAGCAGTGGGGCGGGAGATGTTGAAATATTTTCTAATCGACAGTGGACGATGTGGTTTTGAGTAAAGAAGAAATCACCCGGCTTCGTTTTTAGTTGTTTTTCCTCTGTAAACATTACAGCAGGGTTGACGACCGACATGTGTTCCTCCGCAAAGCTGTAGAACACATGTGCAAACCATAGATTTACATCAAACAGATTTGTCACTTTTTCCTATGTGTATTATATTTATCCATTCACAACTTGTGCTTGAAGTAGCAGTTGCCCTTAAAATACAAATTGAAGGCCAGGGTTGACTACAACCCCCCCCCCCCCCCCCCCCCCCCACACACACAATCCTAGCCTTAACATTAGTTTATATTTCATTATATTTATACTGATATACTCTTATATCAGTATTGTCCTGTATGTTTTCATTGGCAATTTTGGACATCTGTTCTTCGCAGTGATTGAATGATCTTCTCTGCAGGTGTTCAGATCTTCTTCATCTGGCTGTGCTGCACCCCAGAAAACTCTCTGTATACTCCATCTCAGGTAATACCACACATTTCAACATTGGGTGTAATATGCATGCCACACCACATTGATTTAGTGGACTACTACAGACTGGAATATGTTCCGGGATTCATCTGATAACATTGAGGAGTTTAGCACATCTGTCACCGGTTTCATTAATAAGTGCATCGACGACGTCGTCCCCACAGTGACCGTATGTACTGTACATATCCCAACCAAAAGCCATGGATTGATTTTTTTTTTCTCAATTTGTCTGTCATAGTTGACGTGTACCTATGATGAAAATTACAGGCCTCTCTCATCTTTTTAAGTGGGAGAACTTGCACAATTGGTGGCTGACTAAATACTTTTTTTCCCCACTGTATGTGAGAATGCTGTTCATTGACTACAGCTCAGTGTTCAACATCATAGTGCCCACCAAGCTCATCACTAAGCTCAGGACCCTGAGACTAAACACCTCCCTCTGCAACTGGATCCTGGACTTCCTGACGGGCCGCCCCCAGGTGGTGAGGGTAGGTAACAACACATCCGCTGCGCTTGCCCTCAACACGGGGCCCTTCAGGGGTGCGTGCTTAGTCCCCTCCTGTACTCCCTGTTCACCCACGACTGCGTGACCACGCACAACTCCAACACCATCATTACGTTTGCTGACTCTGGTAGGCCTGACGACAATGAGACCGCCTATAGAGAGGAGGTCAGTGACCTGGCAGTGTGGTGCCAGGACAACAACCTCTCCCTCAACGTCAGCAAGACAAAGGAGCTGATCTTGGACTACCGGACACAGAGGGCTGAGCACGCCCACTTCCACATCGATGGGGCTGTAGTGGTGCGTGTCGAGAGCATTAAGTTCCTCGGTTTCCACATCACTCAGGAATTAACATGGTCCAGACACACCAACACAGTCGTGAAGAAGGCATGACAATGCCTCTTTCCCATCGGGAGACTGAAAAGATTTGGCATAGGCCCTCAGATCCTCAAAAAGTTATATAGCTACACCATTGAGTGCATCTTGACTTGCTGCATCACCGCTTGGTATGGCAACTGCTTGGCATCCGACCGCAAGGCACTACTGAGGGTAGTGCGTACGGCCCAGTACATCACTGGAGCCAAGCACCTTGCCATCCAGGACCTCCAGCCACCCAAGTCACAGACTGTTTGTTCTCTCTGATACCTTACCGCACTGCAAGCAGTACCGATGCACCAAGTCTGGAACCAACAGGACCCTGAACCGCTTCTACCCCCCAAGCCATAAGACTACTAAATAGTCCAGGTAGCTATTTGGTTAACTATCTGCATGACCCTCTTTGCACTAACATTTTTTACTCATCACATACGCTGCTGCTACTGTTTATTATCTATCCTGTTGCCTACCTCTACCTATATGTACATATCTACCTCAATTAACTCATACCCCTGCACATGGACTCGGTACTGGTACTCCGTGTATATAGCCAAGTTAGTGTTACTCATTGTGTATTTATTCCTCAGGTTATTATTTGTTCTATATTTCTCTCTGCATTGTTGGGAAGGGCCCGTAAGTAAGCGTTTCACTGTTAGTCTACACCTGTTGTTTACGAAAGAATGTGACAAATAAGATTTGATTTGATTTTGATTTGATACTATGGCAGTTTGCTCCCGTTCTTCTAGTTCTCATTCTGCAGATTTAACCATAGGACATAGTAATGATATGTGACAATAAATATTAATATGGAGGGTCTCTCTCTCTATGTTCTCTCTCTCTACCTCTCTCTACTGTCTCTACCGTAGGTACTGCTGGTAATGTGGAGCATGGGGTTCAGTATCAGCTCAAGCGGGTCTATGAGCACAACCTCCAGAGGACCGCCTGCAACATGACCTATGGAACCTTCGGAGGGGTCACAGGTAACACGTCACAGCGCCCCCATGACCAGCTCAAACACTTCACATGTAACAGATATGCATTGACAGTTTAGTCACATACAGTTTAGTCACACACACACTCTTTCCATTTTTTGGGTTAATTCACTGCCCTTTCATTTCTAATGACCACAGAGCTATAAGTGTAGAATATGACTCATTCTGTGTGGAGGGGAACCCTTGGTGTTCTGGTGCAGGTTTATTTGGATGGCAGTGACTGGATCAGTGTGTGCATGGGTGTGTGTATGCATGTGCACACGTGTGGGTGTGTGGGTGTATTTGTATGTGTAGTAAGTTAGGTTGTGTGTGTCCTTTTAAAGGTTGTGTCAGGTCAACTACAGAAGCTTTCTTTTAGCCTGCCACGAACACACTCCTGAAATCTGGACCCAAGCCACAGACAAGAGACAACAGGCAATTCATTAATGGGAGAGCACATGTATCCAAACACGTGCTCCCCTGAACACACACACACACACACACACACACACACCTCAACAATATAACCCTTATTTTATTATTGGTCTTCCCATGTCTAAAAGGACTTCAGTTAAACGCTGGTCTGGTTTGTGTGCATGCACGTGTGTGTGAGGAGACTTGGAGATGTTTAGGAAGGGAGTCGTTGTGTTTCTCCTCCTTCTCTTTCTTACTCTTGAGTCACTCACTCTCTCACTCACACACACACACTCTCAGTATAGTCGTGTCTCTCTGTGCCTCTCCTGTCAGTGTAGAGAGAGAGTGGATTACAATGAGGTTCCTATAAATAAGAGGCTAAGAGGATCTCAACTCTAATCCTGCTCCAGGGTTACACTACCACACATCGCCACCGGGGAGCAGCACAGCCTGTGGAATCAGCTCCTACACACCAGTACACACTTGTCATCTGAGAGAGTGTATTCATCTGAAATGAGTGTGTGTATCTGTTTGTCTGTGTGTGTGTTTTCTGTGTGCATGAGTGTGTGTACACATCCAAATGTGAGCACCCATAATAGTTCCCGACCATAGAATGACTGTAGGCGCTGTAATAGCAGTGTTGTACTAATACAGCCCTAATGGCTGGGCTGGGCTGGGTTTGGGTCCGAATCGGGCCACACACACACAGCGTAGGCCATTCTAAGCAACACCTGGCCCACACCCCAGCCCAACACTACCCAGAACCCAGGCCCAAAGAACCACTGAACTGCTCTGCTCTGTCCTGCCAGCCTCTGTGCTTTGTCCTTGGGGCAAAACCTGTATAACAGCATGTTCTATTAATGCTATTAGTATGGGGTGGTTTCCTCTATATGTCTCTGCTAAGGTTAGAAGTGCTGTACTAATGGTTTACAGAGCTAGAAGAGCAGTTTTTTGATATCTTTAGTATGGGCGTAGACCCACACACAAGCGTGAGAGAAGACACACGCATACATGCACACACACCATACATGTGCACACACACACACACACACACACACACACGGCGGGGTAATTGTGTGAGAGGCCTTGTCCTTCAGTGTTTTACTGACCTCCCAACCTGAGCCCAGCTCACCAAATGGGGATGACCAGAATAGCTGGTGACGCACACACCCACACGTGTTTATTAATGTGTATCTGCTCTGTAGGTGGTACTCCCTGACCCCTTGTTGATGTGAGTGTGATTTTTAATAGCGCGTAGAGGCCTAATTATAGTTATCTGGTCTCACAACCACTCTGTTTTATGGCTCATTGTGTGTGTGTGTGTGTGTGTGTGTGTGTGTACTCAGCCTTCTCAGATTTTCTCTGCCATAAAACTCAGTGGGCCATTCCAAGCACTCCACACACACACACTCACACACTCAGGGAACACAGACCTAAAGCTGTGTAAGGCTGCTGTGAACAGACCTGCTCAGTCCAAGAGGTGTTAATGGACATATCAGATTCAGCGGAAGACAAATTAGCAGCTAACCCACCACTACAACACAACATAGCAGAGCAGCTAACCCACACCACTACAACACAACATAGCAGAGTAGCTAACCCACCACTACAACACAACATAGCAGAGCAGCTAACCCACCACTACAACACAACATAGCAGAGTAGCTAACCCACCACTACAACACAACATAGCAGAGCAGCTAACCCACCACTACAACACAACATAGCAGAGCAGCTAACCCACCACTACAACACAACATAGCAGAGCAGCTAACCCACCACTACAGCACAACATAGCAGAGCAGCTAACCCACCACTACAGCACAACATAGCAGAGCTGCTAACCCACCACTACAGCACAACATAGCAGAGCAGCTAAACCACCACTACAGCACAACATGTCAAGCAGAACTGTAGGTTACATTTTTCCACAGAACGTATAACATTATACAAGTCATTTAGTCAGGCAGCATTCAGGTCTATGTTCTGTTATTGTGTGTACTTTTCTGTGATTCCGTGATGCCAGTATGATTCCACCAGGTTGTCATGTGTTAATGTCCTAACCCTGTGTGTTGAATTAACGTTTATTCAACACTCCTGTAACGTTTGTCTTTTGTTCTTTCCCTTCAGACCACCACTCTCTGTGTATCCAGTCCATGGACGGCATGCTGATGTTCTTTGAGCAGGAGAGTTACTCATTTGGCCGTTTCCTCCCTGGCTTCCTCCTGCCTGGCCCTCTGTGTTACTGCTCCCGCACTGACACCTTCCTCACTGTGTCCTCAGTACGACAGGTTGAGAGCTACAGGTACACACACACGCTGCAAAACACACACGCACACGCTGCAAAACACACACGCACACGCTGCAAAACACACACACACCGCTGCAAAACACACACACACGCTGCCAAAACACACACACACACGGCTGCAAAACACACACCACGCTGCAAAACACACACACACACGCTGCAAAACACACACACGCTGCAAAACCACACACGCTTGCAAAACACACACACACGCTGCAAAACACACCACACGCTGCAAAACACACACACGTGCAAAAACACACCACACGCTGCAAAACACACGCTGCAAAACACACACACACTGCAAAACACACACACACACACACTGCAAAACACACACACGCTGCAAAACACACACACACGCTGCAAAACACACACAACACACACGCTGCAAAACCCACACACACACACACGCTGCAAAACACACACACACACACGCTGCAAAACACACACATGCTGCAAAAACACACACACACGCTGCAAAACACAAAACACACTGCAAAACACAAACACACACTGCAAAACACAAACACACACTGCAAAACACACACACACACGCTGCAACACACACACACACACACACACGCATGCCAACACACACACACACCACACGCTGCCAAAACCAACACAACACGCTGCAAAAAACACACACACATACACGCTGCAAAACACACACGCTGCAAAACACACACACACACACACACACACACACGCTGCAAAACACACACAACACACACGCTGCAAAACACACACACACACCTCCTCAGGGGAAAGTAAGTGAATGAAAAAGTGAGTGTGAGTGAAGAAGTGTACTCGTCGCCTCTGAAGGCTGTCTGCCTGCCTGCTACTCCACACTAGATCTTTAAATACATCTGTGGTGCAGCAGACGGGAGGCCATTTTCTAGTCCTCCTAACACCACAAACCACTGCACCATCTTTAAATAATAGGGGAGAGTGTTCTGTGTGTGTGTGCTTGTCTTTGCGTGTGTGTGCTTGTCTTTGCGTGTGTGTGTGTGTGTGTGTGTGTGTAAATCGTGTATAGGGGATACTGCAGATTATTGCCACAGCTGAGTCTGGTTATCCCCGGTGCTAAGTTAACATTTTCACGTCCTAATGAAATTTCCACTCATTGATCTCCACAGCTCCTCATGTAAGCCATATCTTTATTTTCCTCTACTTTGGCCACTCATCGCCCCGCCACAATAATCACAGTTCCCTTCCTCTACAAACACACACCGGGATTTTCCTTTTTGACGCTCCTGCTAAAACCGGAGGGAAATTGGGGAAAGGCGGAAGTGTGTGTGTGTGTGTTTTGGTGTGTGAAACCCGGCCTTCCAGCTGTTTGTTATCCCAGATTTCTCCGATATCAAGAGCTTCCCCAGACGAGATATCAATGCGGAAACGCTGACACCCTCCTCCCTCTCCTCAATTCTCAGACTGTATATATGAATTCTAATAAAAATGATTCTGCCAAGGATGGAGCGCTCTATGGCCCCAGTTAACACTTGGCTGTGTCTAGACTTGGTCTCTGGGGCTAGAATTCCACTTTCTGATCAAATCTACAATCAAAAGGCAAGAAAACTGTAGATACAAAGAGAGCTACATTTGGTCATGAAAATCCTGCATGTTAGTTAGAAATAGCCTTGCTCTGAGTGTCATACTACATAATATCAGTCAGCTAGTGGAACTGTTCCGCTCCCTTGGTTTGTTTAGCCAGTAATGTTGATTTTCTCTCCGCTTGAGGGTTGATGAATGAGGGTTTGATTTTGTGTGTGTGTATCAGGGCAGTATTGGGTAGATATCCTCTTTCATATAAATGACTGGGCTGTTTCCTCTGGCTGTAGACGTCCCACGCTGGCTGCTGAGTGACACACACACACACACACACACACACACATCCCAGTCCTTCATCTAGCCTCCATGCCCGGCTTCACACACTCACTCTGTCTCTCTCTGGGCGGTCTGAGACACAGCGACACTCTTCTGTCTAACCTGGAGAGGTTGACTGGGTTTGTGTGGATTGCACTGGTTAAATGTGAGCCTCATGTGTGGTGTGTGTTGGTAGTGTGTTCATGCGCACACACGATCATACATTTTGTACACACAACCGTGCATGCATATTATGCACATATTTCTACTCATGTAAACACACACACACCTTCCCTGCTCCCCTGGGCTGGCCTGAGCTGTGGAACTCTGAATGTGTGTGTGCATGCTGGTGAATAATACATTCTTCAAGGTTTGGACTCTATCATCACACACACACACACACACACACACACACACACACACACACACACACACACAGTCACACACTTTGTGATTCTATGTGTTAGATCTCATTCACACTAGCGCATTCACCAACAGACCTGACCATAGTACTCTGGCCTTAAAAGGCCTTGGCTAGATGGTGCCAATCTCTCCCATCCATTTAGGATTGAGCCCTGCAGATTTCTTATAGCTGATAAGAAGTAATGTAAGAATGCAAACCAAAGTGCACTTCAACACTTCTTCGATGTGCATTTGTCAGGAGTGTACTCTATTGCTATACCTCTGCAACCAGGGACGGCAAACTAGGTCCTGTTTCCTCTTCCTCCACCTTCCTCCTTGGCCCTGCTTGCTGTTGTCTTTGGACATTTTCATTCCTCCATTCCTTTCTCAGAGAGCAAGAGAAAGTGACTTTCTCCCTGACAGAGCAAATAGTCTCCTGTCGTTTACAGCTCCACAAACATCAGGGCTTAGCAGGTTCTGATTTCCCTTCCGTTCCCCGCTCCTCCGCACACTCCACTGGCTTCCAGTTGAAGCTCGCATCTGTTACAAGACCATGGTGCTTGCCTACGGAGCTGTGAGGGGAACGGCACCTCCGTACCTTCAGGCTCTGATCAGTCCCTTCACCTAAACGAGGGCATTGCGTTCATCCACCTCTGGCCTGCTGGCCCCCCTACCTCTGCGGAAGCACAGTTCCCGCTCAGCCCAGTCAAAACTGTTCGCTGCTCTGGCACCCCAATGGTGGAACAAGCTCCCTCACGACGCCAGGACAGCGGAGTCACTCACCACCTTCCGGAGACACTTGAAACCCCACCTCTTTAAGGAATACCTGGGATAGTATAAAGTAATCCTTCTACCCCACCCCCACAAAAAAAATAAAAAAATAAAAATAAATTATTGTAAAGTGGTTATCCCACTGGCTATAAGGTGAATGCACCAATTTGTAAGTCGCTCTGGATAAGAGTGTCTGCTAAATGACGTAAATGTAAAATGTAATATAATTATCTGATTCTTAGCAGCTTTTCCTTCTCCCGCTCCCTCCCGAGGGGCCAGGTGACTGTGTGTGTGTGTGAGATGTCTGTAGCTACTATAGCCAGCTCCAGCCTTTTACTGGAAATCAGATTGTATGAATGCCATACTGCTAGAGTACTGTAGACTGACTCCAGATCAGTATCTTGAAACTGCTATTAATAAAGCCATTGTTTGAGAATGTAAAAGCATGATGCTAGCTAACTAGCGTATCTGGATAATGGTTTGTGGCATTCACTTCAGTTGTCATAACACAGATGGATGTCTGTTATGTCATTATTATGACAGTGGGGCTTCTGACAGAGGGTCCAGCTGAAGTGTTTCTGAAGTGTTACCACTGGGAACATTGTGTATCTAAACTGAAGTGTTCCCAGTGAGAACAGTGTGTGTGTGTGTGTGCGTGCGTGCGTGCGTGTGCGTGCGTGCGTGCGTGCGTGCGTGCCTAAACTGAAGTGTTCCTAACCCAGGTATGAGACGCTGGCAGTGGCCACAGACGCAGAGACCAGACAGGATGCTGAGCAGCATAGCAAAACTGCAGGGAAGAGACTGACGGTGAGAAGAGAACTTCCTGCCTCTCTCTCTGTGTGTGTGTGTGTGTGTGTGTGTGTGTGTGTAACCCTGTGTGTGTGTCCCCCTCAGGCTGAGTGGACCCTGGTCCTGGGGGAGCAGGCCTTGGACCTCTGTGTCCCCTCCTTCTCTCCGTCCTCGTCCTCCATCTTTGTTTGCGGCGAGAGGAACCTGTACTGCCTCAAAGACAACGGGCATATCCGCTTCATGAAGAAACTGGAGTACAACCCCAGCTGCTTCCTCCCCTATTCCTCAGGTAATGGGACAGCCCTAGTGCTTCCTCACATAACAGACTGCTCTACTGCTTGATATCATTAGCTTATATACTGCTTGATATCAGATGCACTATTTGTAGGACATATTTTAGGACATAGTAGATACCCATCCAATCGAATGGTTTCCTCCATATTATTTTGCGGAATATTTTTGCTGACTCTTCTATCCAGTCTTTGTTTTAGGTCTGCCATGTGGATACTGGTCTAACAAATATTTCTAGTGGTGATAAGACATTCCCCATTCCTGTCCAGTGTGCGTGGCGGTAGCAGAATGAGTGTTTGTCCGTGAGCTCAGGTTCATCTGATAGGGAGTCTCTCGGCTCCTGGGTTTTGTTTGAGGGACCGGAGTCCTGACTGACTCCCAGCATACCACTCCAACCAGAGGAAGTAGGAAATATCACAGAGCAAGGCATGCTCTAATCTGATCCATATTTAGCATATGTAGCACCTCGAACACGCAACACACAGCACCGTCACCTGCATAAGCACACGCACATACACAGCATGTTCTGCTGGCGGAATGCCCTGTAGATCAGGGGTCTGCGTGTTGCATGTTTATTCCACTATCGCAGGACCCACTTATGGGTTCCAGCCAACACACCTCTCTCCAGCTGAGCTCAGTTACAGGTAACTGCCAAAATAAAGGAAACACCAACATAAAGTGTCTTAGTAGGGTGTAGGAGCCACCATGAGCTGCCAGAACGCGCCTTGTCATAGATTCTACAAGTGTCTGGAACTCTATTGTAGGGATGTGACACCATTCTTCCATGAGAAATTCCATAATTTGGTGTTTTGTTGATGGTGGTGGAAAACGCTGTCTCTGGCGGCGCTCCAGAATCTCTCATAAGTGTTCAATTGGGTTGAGATCTGGTGACTGAGAGAGACACACCCCCTTTAAAACCCCTATGCTCCTTTTGAGACCCCTCTTTCAAAGTCACTGAGATCTTTTCTTTTAGCCATGTTAGCCAAAATAATGGGCAACTGGGAATTTTTATACATGACCCTGAGCATGATGGGATGTTAATTGCTTAATTAACTCAGGAAACACCTGTGTGGAAGCGCCTGCTTTCAATATACTTTGTATCCCTCATTTACTCAAGTGTTTCCTTTATTTTGGGAGTTAACTGTATATACATGGAGAGAGGGATGCAATGGAAGGAGAGCAGGAGAGAAAGAAAAGGGTGAGGGAGCAGGGAGGAAATAGGTGAGAGAAAGGAGGGAGGAAAGGAAGGAGAGAGGGATGGAGGAGGAAGAGTAGAAGCAGGGTGGCTGAGAGAGATTTTGAAAAAATATATTAAAAACAATTTCAACCAGAGACACCTGCTATTCCTCATTGAGGTGTGTTTGACCTGTGAGCACCATTTCCTCTGGTACACACACACCCTTACTTCACACTATTCCCATTCCATTTGCATCGTTCCTCTATAAAGGCCAGGATCCCAGGTGACAACGATCACAGTCCTCGATAGTTTTCTCTGGTTGTTTTTTCAACAGCCACCCGGACAGTATGGAAAATGACTTCCCGCTATTGTAATTTGCTACGGTTGGGTTTTCAATACAGAGAGAGTGAGAGGAACTTTCCGGGCTGCTGACTTTTACATTGTTTTGGCTGGAACTTTAGCGGTTTACCGGCCCGCTCCCAATATTTCACAGGTTTCCCCCTCTGGCCCTCCGCTATGCAGCTGCCTTTTTTGGCTCACGTTCTCCTTTTTTCTCTCTCCCTCCCCTCTCTCTCATCCTCTGTTTCTCCCTCAAGGAGTGATAATACAGCCACTTAACCCCAGAATTGATAATAATCACTTATAATTAGTGTACACACATACACCTCTGGGTAAGGTGTGTTCAGGGAAACCATTGCCACATGTCTGTCTGATACACAGCTATTAATACAGTGCCTGGCCACAGTGGCAGAACAGAACGAACCAGGAAGAGCGAAAGAGGAGGAAAAACAAGTGCAGCTATATGTAGTGGATGGAGGGAGTCCTCTAAGTCCTTCTCTTTGAGAGTTGAGAGAAGGGCAATGTGAGCTTTGAAGTGGCACAGAGGTCAAATATAAGCTAGCTGTCATTTTGGCCTTGCCCGCCCCTGCCCTCTATCCCAGTGAGGTTGGCTAGGCGTGTGTTGCGTGTGCCTCTCAGATCTCCCATGGTGGCAGTCACGCTAAATGCTGGACAGTGTGCCAGGAAGTGTGTGTGTGTGAGGACAAACCAAAAGGCGTTTTCATGCTAGACCATTTCAGGTCAACCCGGGGTTTAACCATGTGTGTGTGCTCACACATGAATATTCTTCTACCTCAAAGACACATCCTCACCCCAGAACTCATTTGTAATGACTTGAGATCTTTTTGCTTTCTAAATAGTTCAATATTAATTGAAGGTTTGTTGTTATTTATGGACTGGCTTCTAGCCTGCCAAAGCAACTCCGAGCAAATCGACATCCCATTGATGACTGATGGATGGAAGGACTGTATTTATACAGCACTTTTCTTTCGGTTTCATGCATCTCCTGTGACTGTATCTAACCTCTGACCCCTCCTTCTCTTCCCAGTGTCTGAAGGCACCACCAACACCCTGGTCGGTAACCATAACAACATGCTGCTGGTGTACCAGGATGTGACGTTGAAGTGGGCCGCCCAGCTCTCCTGTTCCCCCGTGGCTGTCAGGCTCGCCAACTTCCTGTGAGTACCCCCCCCCCCCCCCCCCCCTCACTCGTTACCATGGCACCTGCTGCTGCTATGTTTGGTGTGTTGGTGTTGCCATGATTATAGTGGTTGTGTACGGTAACCAGGATTGGATCAATTCCATTCTGTCAATTTAGGAAATGAAATTCAAAAGCCAACCCCCACATTTAACAAAAGAAGTAGTAAGTAGTAAGGTAGTAGCTTTTCCATTCATGAATTCCCACTCATCTCTTCAATTTACTTATTTGAAATGGACCCCAAAGTTGATGGTAACTTTACGCAGATACACTTAAACACACAGTGTGTGCTCAGATTCCACTGATCTGATAAGGTAACAGATACCTCTGTAGGCCTTTACCTGGGGACGGGGGGATGAAAGGAGGAGAGGAGAGTGAGACTCTAAATGGAGGGGGAGGGATGGAAGCTCTCAGATGGAGCTCCATTCCTGTGCTTCAGTGGTGAGTGTCCCTGTGTGTGTCTCTGTAGCGCTGCTGTGTTGGCTCCGTTCTAAAGAGCCCTTCTGTCAGCACCCACTAGATGAGCCTTTCTCTGGGTCCTCCCAGAACACACACACACACACACACACACACACACACACATTTGCATAGCGCACACAGTTACACACTCATCCTCCACACAACCTTACAGAACACATTCTACATAGGACATACATGTATACATGTAGCCACCGTTCTCTCTCTCACTCTGTTGAGCGCTACTCTCTCCCACCCACAGGCACACTCGTGTACATGCACTCTATGAAGCCCAAAGGCCAGGTTTGTTGTTATTATTAGTGTGTTGTTATTAATGATCACCAGTTGTTATGGTTATCACCATGAGAAATCCACCCAAATCCCTGAGAAGAAATGATTTCACAATGTCTTACAGCTGGCCAATCAAAACAGATAAGGGAGTGGCGGACTGTAGTACTAAATGTCATCGCAGTGTAATGGCCATAATCACGCTGCAATTTACAACCATTTATTTACAACACAAACAGTGATGAATAATGATGGCGTGTGTGTTTTTTTAAAAAGAATTCATAATTCATATACAGCCATGTAGTACATGATGAGCTACATATCCACTGCTGATACCATGGGGAGGACTAACAGGCTGTCACCAGACCAGACACCGGTCCTCTCCTTAACCCCTGGTTTCAGTAACATTAACGATAGTTTTGCCTATTCTCTCTCTCTCCCCCTCTGAAAGAGTGTAGGGTTAGGTGAGTTCAGGGGGTAGTGGTTCGGAAGGCCTCCGACTGCTGCAGAATCTGTCAGCTTTTTCCTATTCAGCCCCCCGACTATTAGTGTTCCTGTTTCATACCATCCACCTAGAGGAGAGTGTATCTACTCTGACCTAACCTGACTAGACGAGAGGAACAGCTGAGCAGAGAAGATGGAAGCTTATGGGTCATAGCCCAGTAAAACCAAAGTTAGAAGCTTTAACATACAGTGGGGTCCGAAATTGTAGTATTTGGTTTAGTATTTGGTCCCATATTCCTAGCACACAATGACTACATCAAGCTTGTGACTCTACAAATGGATTGGCAGTTCGTTTTGGTTGTGTTTTATTTTGTTTTGTGACCAATAGAAAGTAATGGTAAATAATGTGTTGTGTCATTTTGGTAGAGCTGTCCCCATTTAGTCGATTGTTTGGTCGATAGGCTGTTGGTCGACCGAGTTTATTTTTATTTTTCTGGTGCACAAGACAGCTTTCTGATTTAGCGCCTGTCTCAGTGGATTCATTTAATAGATTTGGCTGTTTTTAATCTTTGCTATGATGTAATAAAGGCAAATTGTTAGAACAGACTAGTATTACTTATAATTGATTTTGTGCTGTTTACACTGTTCCATACAGACAGAAAAATAATATTGTAATCTAACAGCACTTGTTTGTCACACATAATATGCAGCTCTCGCTCCTATACCCTTATTTTTCTTGGTCTCCTTCTTATTGTTATTATTACAATTATTATTATTATTATGATCATCATTATAATAATAAGTAATGTCGTTATCATTAGTAGGCTTGTATAGTAATGATAAACCACCTCTTAGGACTAATAGCGTGTCTGTTTATCTTAATATTAGGCCTATAGTTGCTATTATAATATATATATATGATATATATATATATTATAATATATATATATAACCATCTGTAGACTATACGTTTCATTTATTATCTTAATATACATTAGCCTATATTTCATATATATATATATATATATATATATATAATATATATATATAGGCTACTGTATCATCAATCAATGTGCCCCCAAGTGCGCCGGCGGTCTGAGGCACTGCATCACTACAGAACGGGTTCGTTCCAGGCAGTGTCACAACCGGCGTGGTGGGATCCCTAGGCGGCCGCACAATTGCCCAACGTCGTCCGGTTTAGGGGGCGTCGGTCCGGGTTAGGGGAGCGGGTTTTGCCGGGGTGGGCCTTACTTGGCTCATCGCGCTCTAGCGACTCCTTGTGGTGGGCCGGGTGCCTGCAGGCTGACGTCGGACATCAGTTGAATGATGTTTCCTCCGACAGATGGGTGCGGCTGGGTTAAGCGGGCAGGTGTTAAGAAGCGCGGTTTGTCGGGTCATGTTTCGGAGGACGCATGACTCAACCTTCACCTCTCCTGAGCCCGTTGGGGAGTTGCAGCGATGAGACAAGATCGTAATTGGATAGCAATTGGATATCACAAAATTGGGGAGAAAATGGGGGTAAAATAAATTTTGTAAAACAAATATATACAGTGGGGAAAAAAAGTATTTAGTCAGCCACCAATTGTGCAAGTTCTCCCACTTAAAAAGATGAGAGAGGCCTGTCATTTTCATCATAGGTACACGTCAACTATGACAGACAAATTGAGAGAGAAAAAATCCAGAAAATCACATTGTAGGATTTTTTATGAATTTATTTGCAAATTATGGTGGAAAATAAGTATTTGGTCACCTACAAACAAGCAAGATTTCTGGCTCTCACAGACCTGTAAATTCTTCTTTAAGAGGCTCCTCTGTCCTCCACTCGTTACCTGTATTAATGGCACCTGTTTGAACTGGTTATCAGTATAAAAGACACCTGTCCACAACCTCAAACAGTCACACTCCAAACTCTACTATGGCCAAGGCCAAAGAGCTGTCAAAGGACACCAGAAACAAAATTGTAGACCTGCACCAGGCTGGGAAGACTGAATCTGCAATAGGTAAGCAGCTTGGTTTGAAGAAATCAACTGTGGGAGCAATTATTAGGAAATGGAAGACATACAAGACCACTGATAATCTCCCTCGATCTGGGGCTCCACGCAAGATCTCACCCCGTGGGGTCAAAATGATCACAAGAACGGTGAGCAGAAATCCCAGAACCACACGGGGGGACCTAGTGAATGACCTACAGAGAGCTGGGACCAAAGTAACAAAGCCTACCATCAGTAACACACTACGCCGCCAGGGACTCAAATCCTGCAGTGCGAGACGTGTACCCCTGCTTAAGCCAGTACATGTCCAGGCCCGTCTGAAATTTGCTAGAGTGCATTTGGATGATCTAGAAGAGGATTGGGAGAATGTCATATGGTCAGATGAAACCAAAATAGAACATTTTGGTAAAAACTCAACTCATCGTGTTTGGAGGACAAATAATGCTGAGTTGCATCCAAAGAACACCATACCTACTGTGAAGCATGGGGGTGGAAACATCATGCTTTGGGGCTGTTTTTCTGCAAAGGGACCAGGACGACTGATCAGTGTAAAGGAAAGAATGAATGGGGCCATATATCGTGAGATTTTGAGTGAAAACCTCCTTCCATCAGCAAGGGCATTGAAGATGAAACGTGGCTGGGTCTTTCAGCATGACAATGATCCCAAACACACCGCCCGGGCAATGAAGGAGTGGCTTCGTAAGAAGCATTTCAAGGTCCTGGAGTGGCCTAGCCAGTCTCCAGATCTCAACCCCATAGAAAATCTTTGGAGGGAGTTGAAAGTCCGTGTTGCCCAGCGACAGCCCCAAAACATCACTGCTCTAGAGGAGATCTGCATGGAGGAATGGGCCAAAATACCAGCAACAGTGTGTGAAAACCTTGTGAAGACTTACAGAAAACGTTTGACCTGTGTCATTGCCACAAAGGGTATATAACAAAGTATTGAGAAACTTTTTTTATTGACCAAATACTTATTTTCCACCATAACTTGCAAATAAATTCATTAAAAATTCTACAATGTGATTTTCTGGATTTCTTTTTCTAATTTTGTCTGTCATAGTTGACGTGTACCTATAATGAAAATGACAGGCCTCTCTCATCTTTTTAAGTGGGACAACTTGCACAATTGGTGGCTGACTAAATACTTTTTTTCCCCACTGTATATATATATATCATTAGTTAGGATTATCTGTAATCATGGTAGCATCCACATTAATTTAAGTGTTTAGAAACATATTCTATTCCTATTTATAATAAGTGACTCCAAAATGTAGGAGTCACTTATATATATATATATATAACATTCATTCGTTCATGCCATCACACAGCATACGAGGCATTCATGCTTTGAAATGCAATCAAGCATTTTAGTTTAAAAATTAAATAACAAAGGGAGCTTTGAATAATTTGCCTAAATATTAAAATGAACCGCAATTCATGAATGCATGCAACTGTTTTTAGTCTGCTGTAATAAAGGCTTTATATTTGTTTTTCGTTAGAACAGACTCTCTGGTACACTTATTTATTCATTGTTCACACTGTTCCAAATGGTCAGAAAAAATTAAATTGTAATCTAACAGAAACTGTTTGGCACACATAATACTCACGCAACGTTTGCTCCTATACCTTCCTTTTTCTTGATCTCCAGTAGTTTACAGAACTAAGTCAAATGTCTTCCTCAGATCTGACTTCCCCTTTCCCTCCTGAGCAACCAGTAAACATTTGCCCGTTTCGAGTTTCTTTTTCGCGTCCTCCACATCCATTTTGCTGTCAACATTACTGTGTTCGGAGTTTGTTATAACCAATTTATTGTTTTGAATATGATAGGCTGTAGGTCAGGCCCTATTGGTCACATGCATGCGACGCTTACATATTTCACGTAAAGAGAGCAAGGGTTGAGGGAATAGGGAATGTTTTTCGTAAACAAATTAGGGATAAAAACATTACGACCAGTCGATTGGTCAAAAGAACAGGACGACTCTCGGTCGACCAAGTAATTTTTTTTTCGGGGACAGCCCTACATTTTGGAGTCACTTATTATAAATAGGAATATAATGTTTCTAAACACTTTTAAATTAATGTGGATGTTACCATGATTCCAGATAATCCTGACTAATGATGAGTGAGAAAGTTACAGGTCAAAGATCACACCCAAAAGACATGCTAACCTCCCCTGTTATTGGTAATGGTGAGAGATTAGCATGTCTTTGGGGTATGATCTTTGACCCTCTAACTTTCTCACTCATCATAATTCCCGATTCATTCAGGATAATCCTTAATCATGGTAGCGTCCAAATTTAATGTAGAACTGTTTAGGAACCTATTCTACTCCTATTTATACTGAACAAAAATATAGACGCAACAGCTACCTTAAAATAAATGGGCCTCACAATGGACCTCAGGAGCTCGTCACGGTATTTCTGTGCATTGAAATTGCCAATCGATAAAATGCAATTGTGTTTGTTGTTCGTAGCTTATGCCTGACCACACCCCACCGCCACCATGGGGCACTCTGTTCACAATGTTGACATCAGCAAACCGCTCGCCGACACGACGCCATACACGTGGTCTGCAGTTGTGAGGCCGGTTGGATGTGCTGACAAATTCTCTAAAACGACATTGGAGGTGGCATATGGTAGAGAAATGAGCATTCAATTCTCTGGCAACAGCTCTGGTGGACATTCCTGCAGTCAGCATGCCAATTGCACGCTCCCTCAACCTGAGACATCTGTGGCATTGTGTTGTGTGACAAAACTGCACATTTTAGAGTAGCCTTTTATTGTCCCCAACACAAGTTGCACCTATGAAATGATCATGCTGTTTAATCAGCTTCTTGATATGCCATACCTGTCAGGTTGATGGATTTTCTTGGCAAATTAGAAATGCTGACTAACAGGGAGAAATAAGCTTTTTGTGCATATGGAACATTTCTGTGATCATATATTTCAGCTCATGAAACATGGGACCAACACTTTACATGTTGCGTTTATATTTTAGTTCAGTATACAATAAAAGTGTTTCCAAAAGGACACAATACATTATTTACCATTAATTTCTATTGGGCACAAAATAATCTGAAACACAACCAAAACAAACTGCAAATTCATCCAACAAGTTTGTAGAGTCACAAGATTGATGTAGTCATTGCGTGCTAGGAATATGGGACCAAATACTAAACTTTTGACTACTTTATTTATAAGAATCTTTAGGAGTGTCAAGTATTTTGACTCCTACATTTTTATGAGGAAAAAAAATATTACTTGTTAAACAAAATCTCTTTCGCTGAGCACTTGTATTACTATAAAATAGAATTTCCCCCAAAAAAATGTGAATACAATATAGCTCAGTATTTGAGTTATTTATTTTATACAGTTATTATTGCTCATCTTTCTCAAGGAACCCACTGTAGGTCTCCCTGGGGTGGGGGTCAAATAACTTATCCCATTGAGACTTTCTGGTTTGAATAATGATTGAATAACAATGAAAAATACCTTGCATGTGGACAAAAGGGAAACAGAAGGCTTTAGACCTGATGGGAAAGAAACACACACACAGGAACACAATTAGAGAACATGCTTGACTTTGATAGAATAGTGATATAGTGATAACATTTTATTTGGATGGCTGAGTGGGTAGCTTGGGTAGGTCAATCCCTCCCCTGTGGCGGCAGGGCTGCTGCTACATATGGGGGGCTTTAGAAATGGGGGAGTGCTGGTTGTTTGGAGGGGAGAGGGGGTGGTTGTGAATGTGCCCCTGCAGCAGTAAAAGGGGGGTTTATGCCCCCTCAGTCGGCCTCTCCTGCAGGTGTGGAACCTACTACTCCTCTGGGCTGGAAATCCCCTGTGTGTGTGTGTGTTACTGCCTCACTGCCCTAGCACCACAACACATCTGCAACCAGTTATCTGCAACCCCCCCCCCCCACACACACACACACACACACACACTGCATCACATCTCCTAACTAGTTTTTTTCTGTCTCTGTCATTCTCTTGTTCTATCTTCTCTGTCTCTGAATGATGGCTGCTGCAAAGCTGATATGAAACTGTTTTCCTCACACAAATCATATAGCAGTTTTTCTGTTTCTGACGAGGCAGATGTTTCAACCCCCCTCATAGGGACCTGAAGGGTGTGGTGGTGACCCTGAGCAGTGAGGGCCACCTGCAGTGCTCCTACATGGGCACAGACCCCTCCTTCTTCTCCACGCCCAAGGTGGACGCCCGCGAACAGGACTACTCCCAAATCGACACTGAGATGAAGAGTCTGCAGAGAGTCATCAGACAGGCCACCAGGACCCAGGCTGGTAGGACGCACACACACATGCACACACACGCATGCATGCATGCATGCACCGTGAACAGTCTTTGTGTGTATTTGTGTATTGCAGGTTATTTCCTGACTCTCTCTCTTCTCTGTCGTAGATATCCTTCCTGTAGTAGAGACAGATGAGGATCTGACTGTTACAGCCACAGTCTCCACTAACATGGACAGCACATCGGTGAACACACACACACACACACACACACACACACGCACACTGAAATGGACACACATGTTTGTTTTACTATCCTTGTGGGGACCAAACAATTGATCCCCACTCGGCATCCTATTTTCCCTAACCCTTCAAATCAAATGTATTTATAAGCCTTTTTACATCAGCAGATGTCACAAAGTGCTTATACAGAAACCCATCTTAAAACTCAAAAAAGCAAGCAATGCAGATGTAGAAGCACAACCTAACTCTAAACCTAACCCCTAACCCTAATTGTAACCTTAAACCTAATCCCTAAGCCTAAAATAGCCCTTTTCCTTGTGGGGACCGGCAAAATGTCCCCACTTGTCCCAGCTTTCCTTGTTTTACGATCCTTGTGAGGACTTCTGGTCCCCACAAGGATAGTCAAACCAAAAACACACATACACACACACAATGAAGGCAACACATGTACATACAGACTAGTATATCCTGACCTTCCCTCTATCTCTACAGCAAGCGCTCATCCCGGACATTGATGGTCTACCCGTCCCCTCAGTCACAGTGAAGGTATGTGTCGCACACTTGATGACTTCATCAAGACGCAGACATCAAGGCTGATTTTATTTGACTCACTCAGTCTAACTATTTTAGCTGCAGCTTGAGAAATGAAATCTGAAATGTCTAAATGTCTTCCTCCTCTTTGTTTCTCCTTCTCTCCTCCCTCTCCATCTCTCTCAGATCAAGGTGAAGAGTCGCTGTGCGTTGCAGGGTCCTAAACTGACCGTGTGTGTTCAGCCTCCACTGGCTGTCACCCAGGAGCAGTTTCTGTTGGAGCCTCTGGGTAAGGCGCTCTTGCTCTCTCTCTCTCTCACCTCCTTATCTTTATAGAGAGGAAAAGAGAGGGAGAATGAATGAAAGAAAGAAAGAATGTGTGCTTTCCTCTGTGGGCTCAGACATTATTAGTAGCAGACAGATGAAAGGTTCTATAATCTGAATGAATGAAACGGAGGTACATGGTCACCTTGACACGGTCAAGCAAACACGGTAAACTCTCACCCAAAGCAAACAGAACAGTCTGCTACCGCAACCGTCCCAATTCCTAGGAACCCAGTTTCATGTTATCAGTTTTATCACAGTGTCTGAGAGCAGTGCAAAGAGACGGAAGTACTTGTTCCAGCTTTTCAAAAGCTCCATGTGATGTAGGAACATTTGAAGAAAAGTCTGCTAGCCCTAAGAGTGTTTAGTCCTGTGTGTCTGCCTAGTTGGGATGCATTTTTCCACTAGCCTACTATAGTTTAGTAGAGGTGTTTAGAGATTATAGAACCACATTTTGAAGCAAATGTTGCCCTCACCATTAAGATAGATGTAAGTCATGACAGCTAAAAGATTAGTTAGATGATGGATACGTAACCATGGCAGTCATCACAACACAGCAGATTAAACACACACACGGTGAACCAGCGATGACTCGGAGTGTTTATGCCACGCTCTTTGTCTCCCACACACAGAAACCTGACGCTGCTCTCCACCAGTCTATCAGCAGCCCTCTGCTGTGAAACCCAGGCCCCTAACTACACACAGAAACACACACGCCTCTACCCCATCCTACCCCTACCTGACCCCACCATGGACGTTTGGCCCAGGATAGAAAAGTTTGGCATTGGATTTCCAGGACCACCTAGATGTACAGTTGAAGTTGGAAGTTTACATACACTTAGGTTAGAGTCATTAAAACTCGTTTTTCAACCACTCCACAAATTTCTTGCTTACAAACTATAGTTTTGGCAAGTCGGTTAGGACATCTACTTTGTGCATGACACAAGTAATTTTTCCAACAATTGTTTACAGACAGATTATTTCACTTATAATTCACTGTATCACAATTCCAGTGGGTCAGACGTTTACATACACTAAGTTGACTGTGCCTTTAAACAGCTTGGAAAATTCCAGAAAATGATGTCATGGCTTTAGAAGCTTCTGATAGGCTAATTGATGTCATTTGAGTCAATTGGAGGTGTATCTGTGGATGTATTTCAAGGCCTACCTTCAAACTCAGTCCCTCTTTGCTTGACATCATGGGAAAATCAAAAGAAATCAGCCAAGAAAAAAAATTGTAGACCTCCACAAGTCTGGTTCATCCTTGGGAGCTATTTCCAAATGCCTGAAGGTACCACGTTCATCTGTACAAACAATAGTACGCAAGTATAAACACCATGGGACCAAGCAGCCGTCATACCGCTCAGGAAGGAAACGCGTTCTGTCTCGTAGAGATGAACGTACTTTGGTGCAAAAAGTGCAAATCCATCCCAGAACAACAGCAAAGGACCTTGTGAAGATGCTGGAGGAAACGGGTACAAAAGTATCTATATCCACAGTAAAACGAGTCCTATATCGACATAACCTGAAAGGCCGCTCAGCAAGGAAGAAGCCACTGCTCCAAAACCGCCATAAAAAAGCCAGACTACGGTTTGCAACTGCACATGGGGACAAAGATCGTACTTTTTGGAGAAATGTCCTCTGGTCTGATGAAACAAAAATAGAACTGCTTGGCCATAATGACCATCGTTATGTTTGGAGGAAAAAGGGGAATGCTTGCAAGCCGAAGAACACCATCCCAACCGTGAAGCATCACCATCCCAGGGGTGGCAGCATCATGCTGTCGGGGTGCTTTGCTGCAGGAGGGACTGGTGCACTTCACAAAATAGATGGCATCATGAGGAAGGAAAATGATGTGGATATATTGAAGCAACATCTCAAGACATCAGTCAGGAAGTTAAAGCTTGGACGCAAATGGGTCTTCCAAATAGACAATGACCCCAAGCATACTTCCAAAGTTGTGGCAAAATGGCTTAAGGACAACAAAGTCAAGGTATTGGAGTGGCCATCACAAAGCCCTGACCTCAATCCTATAGAACATTTGTGGGCAGAACTGAAAAAGCATGTGCGAGCAAGGAGGCCTACAAACCTGACTCAGTTACACCAGCTCTATCAGGAGGAACGGGCCAAAATTCACCCAACTTATTGTGGAAGGCTACCCGAAACATTTGACCCAAGTTAAACAATTTAAAGGCAATGCTACCAAATACTAATTGAGTGTATGTAAACTTCTGACCTACTGGGAATGTGATGAAAGAAATAAAAGCTGAAATAAATCATTCTCTCTACTATTATTCTGACATTTCACATTCTTAAAATAAAGTGGTGATCCTAACTGACCTAAGACAGGGAATTCTTACTAGGAATAAATGTCAGGAATTGTGAAAAACTGAGTTTAAATGTATTTGGCTAAGGTGTATGTAAACTTCTGACTTCAACTGCATATGTGGGCCTGAATGGATGGGCCAGTTAAACCTTTTTAATGGGACTTTTGACTCATTGAATGATTTTGTCCTGAATTAACTGATTTGGCCCATACTGTGCCTTGTTGAAGTGCATAGTGTAGTGTATACACATACCACATGTTTTAGTTTCTCTCGATATATATATATATATCTATAAACTCCATCTTCATCTTTCTCTATGAGTCCCACTCGCTCTTTCTCCTCCTCTATCTCTCTCTTGTCACCTTTATCTCTCCATCTCCTACACTTTCTGCCTTTCAGCTTTCTCTCTACAGATCTCTCTCACACTCACTCCCTTCCTCTGACGTCTTGTCTGTGTGTTTTATCCTTGGGAATGGGGAGCTTGAGCTGCCCAGTTAGCCTCTGAGTCTTGGAGTGTGTGAGTTTGGCACAGACCAACAGACCAATGCCCATGTGTCTTTGATTCTTTGACTGTGTGTGTGTGCCACTGCAGGATCCTCTGTTTAGAAACTCCATCCCCCCCGCTCAGCTTGGCCTGTCCTGGGTTCGTGGGGGAGGCAGCGCCTTCTGATTTTTGTATTGTTATTTCACTCTTTATTCGTCTCAGATGGCAACCCAGTCCCCCTGTCCTGTCCACCACACTACCTTCTTTGTTCTCTCGTTCTCTCGCTCTCTCGCTCTCTCGCTCTCTCTCTCTCTCTCTCTCTCTCTGCTTACAGGTTTGGTGGTCTGATTTAAATCACGAAGTAGTGAATTTCTAGATAAGAGCCAAGTATTCCATTAATACACAAATACACACTGACAGTAACTCCCCCACACACACATGCATGCAAACACCTCAAAGGGCATGCACATAGCTTTGATCCTAGAGAACTGCGGTGTCTGCTAGTTTTCATCCTTACCTCATAATCATCATATGATACAGACCTGGGAAACCTGGTGGATTGTTAAGCCTGTCAGTGTGCCAGGTAGAAATCTAAACCAGTCAACTGGGCAGCTCTCAAGACTCACCCCCCCCACACTGATATGATAGTAGTTGCATTACATTGCTATAAAAATTTTCTTAACATCTGTTAAGTGAGTCTTATCTGATGGTCCTGCTTCGTGGAGAGAATTTTAACGTACAACAGAGAGGCTTTGGATGGATCGCTCTAACAGACCCTACACAGGGATGTGACCTAAGTCGTGACCCCAAAAGGTCAAAGGTGACCATTTAGCGCCCTTACTGATCTGCACCCGAGATCCCCAATGGGTCACTGCAAGTGTCATAATGTGCCCCCACACACACCCCTAACACCAAAACACTACACCGTTTAATACTCTTACAGACGCTCTCTCACACATGCACAAACATTCTCTCTTTTACAGTCTCTTTTACGGTCTCACACATGCTCACACACACACACTGATTCTCTCAGTGGCGCACCCACTCTTTGCACCCCAAACACCCTCAGCACACTTTCCCTCTCTGCTCTCAGTGTGCGGTGCGCATTACCCTGCCGACCCCTCTTGACCCGTCTTCTCCCAGGGGTGGGTGGCCGATGTCACCAAAGGTCAAAGCGAAATGTCCTCTGCTTAACTCAGGCCCTGAGGGAAGGAGTGAGTGGGGGAATGAAGGAGAGAAGGAAGGAGATAAGAGGGCGATTTGTGACCTGCTCCTTTGTTGTTATTGTTGTTCTATGCTGGGCGCTAATGGCGTGGTAACACTTAGAATGTCTGGTCACTATTTGCTCGCGGCGTCAGGGTCGTGGGGTTAAAAGCAAGTCTGCCCCCGTTTTTGAAAAGGAGAGTGAGGGAGGGAGGGAGGGAGAGGGCTCGTCACACTGTCAGAGCGTCTGACGGAGCGCAGAGAAAGTGCTTGCCCTTTTTGGTTTCTCTGGCTCGTCTCCCACTCCTCCTCTCTTTTTCTACCTTTGACGCTCTCTCCCCCTCGTAATCTCTCTTCCTTTTTTTCTTACTCAGCCACTGTCTCTCCTCCTCTCTGGTGCTGTGTGTGCTCATGTTAAGGATTCTTGTCTGACCTTTGACTGCCGCCATATATAGTAGAACAGTGTTAGAGTTGGTGGACGAAACACAATACCCTCCTGTGCCCAGCCAGGGAGAGAGGAGAAAACAGAGAGAGAGATGGAGAAGAGGGAAACGGACGACCTGCCAACCTGCACACGTTTTGCGTGAAATACCAATATGGTGTAATTGCAGACTGCAATTTGGGGCGTTTCTTGATGTGGGTGCTCCTTGATATCAGGAAACGCTCATTGGTGCCAGCCATTGGTTAGTTCCGGTGTTATGAGACTGATGGTTTTTCGACACAGATTATTTGTTTTCATAGCAGGTTAGGATAACTAGCGTGGCATGTTAGGATAATTAACATGGCATGTTAGGTACATTAGCATGGCATGTTAGGAGAATGAGGTTCAGTTTAGGAAAAGGGTTAGGCTTAGCTACAATGCTACAGTTGTCAACAACTGTCGTCCCCAATGCGAAAAAAACGGCCACGGACCAATGGTGAGCATTAATGGGTGTAACTTCACATCAAGAAACGGCAATATAAAAAAAACGCCCCTAATTGCGCTAATACTTTCCTTCACAGGAAGTTATGTTAGATTGTTAAAGATTAGTAGGCCTATGTTAATTAATCAGTTCTTAATCTGTCCTCTTGATATTGCTGTATGTCAACAGTAGGCTGCTAATGATGTAATTATAGTCAGTTCACCAACGGCAACAAGGCATGTTGAATGAATGGTAGTCTAGTAGTCAGACTTAACTTGATGGATGAGGTCAGGGATGGAGATCTGAAACAAGCTCATATAGGCCTAGTTCAGTTGTTTCATATTCCAAATAGCCTACAGTAAACTAGACTACTACATTGCATCCAGTAATTTAATTATTCAGGATTGTTTTTCTCCCCAAACAAAATGAAGAAGAAGCCAGTTTACATTTTCACTAGACTATCCACATAAAGACACCTATTAATTAGAATAATCATTACCCCTAAATTTTACCTAGACAAATGTGAAAGTGTCATTGAGACCACCTCAATTTCATTTAGCAGGGTGTCCAATCAATAATGCATATTTTGACCAATGGGTAAAATAACATAATTGTGTAGATAGTCCTATAAGAACCTCCAAACCTCACCTCCCTATTACAATCCGTTCAAACGTTATTGGAGTTTTTACACTTGTAGGATGTCCAGAATTAGGGTGATTTAAATAAACTGAAAGAAAGTTGTGAAAATTCAGGAAAATGTTATCGTGTCATCTATCCTGGATTCTGTGCAAGAATTAAGGCAACTGGCTACCGGACAGGCTCACTTTCCCGTTCCACATCTTTCTTCTCGAATCCGCAGGACATAAAAATATAGAGGTAAGATGGATATGGATTTTGAGACATGACATATAGTATTTTCATATTTTAGTATACGCTTTTCATATTCATTCGGAATTCCTGTTCTTTTTAAAAAATATTTCTCACAAAAACAAGCGTATCTCTGCTTTTATTTTCTAAGCCTTTTACATTTAATTCAGCTCGTTTCATGCAAATGTTGCTTTTTGCGACCCGTGGAAACAACTTTGAAAACCACGACCACAAAATGTAAAACCCTCAACAGTTGTTACGAGAAACCTGCACCGCTATGTCAACAGGGCTCGGTGCTTATTATCGGATGTATTAGGTTACGAAATCTGACTTTGTTCTGTAATGTTATTGATATGTTAGAGAAAGACCCTCCTGAACAATTCAGAACATGAATAATCATATTTGTCTTGGTAAAATGAATTTTATAACATAAGGAAGTGACATTTCATCACCAAAGCACTGGGCAGAGTGGGTAGACACCCTACACAAGACTTCTGTGTTGGCTACATTGTTTTATATAATTTAAGACTCTAGGTTTCAGGAAATGGCAGTTTTTTTAAAGCTAAATGCTCCAACTTCCTGAGAGGGGTTGACTGACCCCCTCCAGACCTCCCCCCTACCCAACATTAGGCCTACATCAGCACCACCTTGTCAGAAAATCCTAGGGAGAGCCCCATATTGTACATTTAAATGTATTTCTAGTTAACTACTGAAGCGCAACCAATTACCAAGTACCCATAACAGTCTATCATTCCTACTGAGGCAGTCTTCTGCCAACATAATTTATTAGGCTAATAAAGGTGCATTTGCCTATGATTTTAGCAGTGTGGGTGGGGGCCACGGGTCCCGCCACCGCGCTGAAGTGGTAAAATTCTCAGTGGTGGAAAAAGTACCCAATTGTCATACTTGAGTGAAAGTAAAGATACCTTAGTAGAAAATGACTCAAGTAAATGTGAAAGTCAGCCAGTAAAATACTACTTGAGTAAAAATCTAAAAGTATTTGGTTTCTAAATATACTTAAGTATCAAAAGTTAATTTAATTGCAAAAATATACTTAAGTATCAAAAGTAAAAGTATAAATCATTTCAAATTGCTTATATTAAGCAAACCAGATGGCACAATTGTTTATTTTATTTAGCCAGAGGCACCGTCCAACACACAGACATAATTTACAAACAAAGCATTTGTGTTTGGTGAGTCCACCTGATCAGAGGCAGTAGGAATGTTCTCTTGATAAGTGTGTGAATTGGATCATTTTCCTGTCCTACTAATCATTCAAAATGTAACAAGTACTTTTGGGTGTCAGGGTAAATGTATGGAGTAAAAAGTACATTATTTTCTTTAGGAATGTATTGAAGTCAATGTAAACGTTGTACTTTAAAGTATTTTTACTTAAGTACTTTACACCACTGAAAATTCTTCATGGTTGGCAGGTTTGAGACAAGAAAAGACAGACAGACTGACAATGAAAATGAAAAGATGGCTAGATGATCTGTGAAATCCCTTCACTACAGACAGAGAGAGAGCAGGACACAGACCGACATACAGAGTAGAGTGCTTGATATGTGTGTAGTGGGGGAATCCTGGCACATACCCCTGGCTCAGTCACCTGTGCCGGCCCTACTCTGCTCTGCTCTGGGCTCCATACGTCACGCCCCATTACCACACCACCTGACGCATGGTGGGCTGTGTAACGTGTGTGTGTAACTTGGCTCGACATCTCTCCAAAGCCATTAGCTGAAATATGGCCTTTCCTCCCAGGCTGTTTTTGATCCCCATTTACCTTCTCTCTCTGACTCTTTGTTAGGGTATTAGAACTGTACTCAAATCATCACCCTCAGGTTTGTGCCACAGGCACCCTTTCTCTCTGTCCCTGTGTGTGTGTGTTAGAGTTGTCTGGTTAATGTTGTTAACCCTGCTGTCTTCACTTCTGGTTGAAATGTTTCAACATGTAACCATGTGTGAGACTGAGAGTATGTGACTTTGTATGTTTTTAGGCCTGAGTAGTCTGGTTAGTGTTGAGAATACTGTTTCCTGTCCTTTCCACACTTGTTAAAGTGCTGAGTCATCATGTGTTTCTGTGTTTGAGAGCGTGTTGTGTGTCTAAAACTGTGTTGTTGTTTTTTACAGGTGTTGGGTCTACCACTGTGGTGGCGTTCTCTGCCTTCCTCAATGGGCACTACCCACCAGCAGACCTGACTGGAGACGTGGCCGTATCTTACAGCTCTCCTACAGGTACACACACTGATAATCTCAAACATATCATGTCTTTCTACAACCTGTCTGAAACATATCACACTTGCCTCATCTCTCTCATGAATTAATGCTTTTATGTTTCCCTGTCTGTGACTTATCTTAAGTCCATAAAAGTCCTGACGTCTGTCTATAACAGCACTAACGTGGTTGTAACAGCTCTGACATCTGGCTGTATCAGTACTGACATATGTCTGTTACCAGATGGACATCTGGCTGTATCAGTACTGACATATGTCTGTTACCAGATGGACTGACAGTAACAGCCCTGATAGTTGGCTGTAACAGTACTGACATCTGGCTGTAGCAGCTCTGTACCCTTTAAAACCACTGAATGGGTAACAGCGGCATCTGGTTCCAGGCAGTATGTATTTCTGGAAGACATTACTCTCCCCTCTAACCAACAAAACCCCTCTTTATTTACATTAAAATGTCATGGGTTTTATTATTTCACTTGATTCAAAGCGGCTCACAAAAAAGCGCCATTTGTACTATTGTTTCCCTTGGACTGTCTGTGTTGGCAGCTCCTTGTGGAAAGGTTCCCTGAAATCACATTAAATGTGAAATGGCTTGGAAATATCGAGGCATTTTTTTTATTGTGATGCTAAAAATAGCGGGGGTGGAAAAGAGAGGAGTCTGGAGTTTTTCACAGGCCTTCCAACGACGGCTGCCCTGTGTTTTGGTGCAGTAGGTCATTACTTAGATCACAGGTAGGGCTCACAGTAACTGAGAGAGAAGGGAGCGAGAGAGAGAGAGGGGGGAGATGTACTGACAGCAGGGGTAGGAGGGATGGCTACACACACACACACACACACACACACACACCTGTGGATATATGACAGTGTTTAGTGGACTATATTTCTCTCTGTGCATCAGTGTGTGTATGGATGTGTTAGCCCTCTGGCTAGGTGTTAGACAGAGCAGTGTTAATCTTCATTAGCACTCTCCTCCACTCCTCTCCTCTGAATGCCTGGCTGGAATGGGAGGAATGCAGCAGTCTATACTGGGGGCGTTCTCTCCTTCTGCCGCTGCACCCAGAGGCAACGATTACAACTCACAACTCTCTGTTACTGTCTACTCTCCTTTCCCTAGAGCCCATCAAAGGGATTTGCAGTAGTGCTCTCCCACTGTCCACTATCTAATGTAGTAAGGCCATGTTGGGGGCCATCCACTGTCTCAATCAATTATTTCACATTCATTTTTAATCACGCCAGCCTCTGTGTGTCTCTGTCTGTCTGTGTGTCTCTGTCTCTGTGTGTGTGTGTGTGTGTGTGTGGGTGTGTGTGTGTGTGTGTGTGTACGTACATCTCTCTCTGTCTATTTCCCCTCTATCTGTATATTTATTCTGTGTTCTGCTCCATTTGACCTGTGCTAAATCTCTGCCCCGCTCTCCTCTGCTATCCTTTCCCCTCCTCTCCTTCCGCTCCTCTCCTTTCCTCTCCTCGGCAGCCAGTGTGGCTAAACCCAGCCAACAGAGGGAGAGAGAGGGGGAGAGAAAAAGAGAGAGGGAGAGCGATGGATGGCTTTCATCAGCGCTAACAAAGCGTGAAATACACAAGCACAGCACTGGGGCCTGCTGCACTTTAATACTCAATCTGGCCCTCATTGACTGTGCTGCTAGACTGCTAGAGGAATCAGTGGCACATGATTCAGTGTGGAGCTCGTTGCTCAGTCAATGAAATGCATTCAGCACCACCTTGAGTCCTCCAGCATTTAATTAACTTCACTCAGTGTCAGACAAATTACTGTGTAGGTGATTGTGTAGTTGAATGCTTGTCATTGATTATTTCAATAACAGCGGTTTGGTAGAATGATTTTTTGAAGAATGTGCACTTTTTAAAAAATTGAATCATTATAGAATTAATCAGTCCACAGCTGGCTGATAATGTGTTTTGCTGACTAGAACCATTTTGTCTCCTGAATTGATGTTAAGCTGAATGTGTTTGGCTGGTTGTTGGTTATTCTTGGCCGTCTGTAGCTACAGTAGTCGATGTCTCTGTTTTTAGACTGTCTGTATTCTGTCAGTCTGGTACTTAAGCCTAGAAGGTCTGTTATGTTATTCTGTCTGTCTCATTGTCCATGGTCAGTCTCAAGCCTGCTGTCTGTGTCTAAGGTAGAGCCTTTGACTTCTGAGCACACATTTCATCAAATAGACTGACTGAGATGACGTCTGTGCGGATGGGGTGCATCACGATTCAAAAAGTGGCTTCTGATTTGTCGGCATCATCATTCTGCGATCAACAGGAGTCTACTTTCACCTGTCCAGTTCTTCATTTGGTGCAGATAGAGGAAAATACACAAGGAGAGGACTCCACTTTCCAGAGAGATGAGAGGGAGGGAGGAGAGAACAGGGAGATGAGAGCGGTGGAACGGAGGAGGAAGAGAGATGAGAGGGAGGGAGGAGAGAACAGGGAGACGAGAGCGGTGGAACGGAGGAGGAAGAGAGATGGGAGGAAACGAGGGGAGAGACTAAAGCGGGGGATGGAAGTAGCGAGGCAGGGATGAAGGGAGGGGGTGAAAGGGGGCGGGGTGTGTGTAAAGTGAACGAGTGGGCGCCAGTGTTTACGTGCCCTGGGCCAGGGCCCTCTAAAGTGACTGTGTTGTGTTTGTGTTTCTCCTGCTCTGCGGCTGGCCCATATGAAAGAACTCAACCCTGCAGGTAAGTAGACTGGGCTCTGCCCTGGGAAGCACAGGAAGAGCCCACAGCCCACTGTTTATGTTCCCCCGTAACACGATATAGCTAGAGAGAGACATGCACACACACACACAGTTTCACATACACACTTTTGGTTACACATACTGTACACATGGGCACGCCACATACACATGCAGACACTTATGCACTTGTATGTACTTGCTCCCACACACATATACACAGACTACATATTACAGCTAAATAGTTGGGTGTCTAGTTCTGAGTAGCGTGTGTTTATTTCTGTCTGTCCGTGCCTCTGTCTGTTCATATGTGCTGTGATACAGTAGATGTCCTCCCTTTTGATCAGTGTGCTTTTAAGAGAACTACCTTCCCTGTGACACACACACACAGACGTTTCATCGCATCGATGACATCATTGCAGCTGCACAATGAACGTGATCCCTTACGGTCGCCCTGAGGTCAAATAAACAGAGTGGTCAGAGAGACTTCACACACACACTCATTGAGGTATCATGCAGTATGACTAGTGCTGGTGAAATCAGGCTGCTGAAGTTCCAGACTAGTTCCATTATCCATTTGGAGAGAATGAGTGACAGCACATGTTTATATACAATATATTTATATTCTACTTTGGAGAAAAGTAGCCTGCTCACATAATTACTACAGAAACCCTCATAGGCCTCATATCTACCAGTGACCCCATGGTGAGGTCAGGTGTATAGAACAGGAGTTGGCCAACATAGGGCAACAATGACAGCTCAGGTGAGACATATAAACATAGAAGGCCCATGCAGGTAAATCATAGTGGCGAGTGAGGGTCGTAACTCTGCCGTGGCAGCCTGAGAATACACAGGGGGTGTCTGGGATACAGTGTGTGAAGAGGTGGGACCAGTTTAGATTTACAGGCAGGGCATCCCCCTCTTCCTAACCACACACACACATCGTTTGTCTTTAGAGAGTGCCGACTAGTCAATGGCGGCTGGGAACCTGAGAAGGGAAAAATGTTTCCCCTAGTTCTTTCTGGTCTCCGTCTTCTCTCTTACTATCATTCCCTCCCTCCCTCTCACTCCTTTCTTTTCTCCCTCCAGTGTTTTCCCTCAATTTCAGTCAGTCCCCTCTACCCCCTCCCTCTTTCTTTCGACCACACCCCTCATTGATGGCAGGACATTTACATTGAAAACATTTGAAGATCGTTTAACAAACACTTTAATATTCTAATAGTCTAAGGGCCAACAGTGTGACTGTGGTCAAACATCCTCTCGATTCGACACCCTTCAGTAGCCTCAATAGGAGTTTGCACAGTTTGAAGATGCTTTTAAAAAGCCACGTCTACAGGTTACTCTACAGAAAAAGAGAGTTAGAGAGACCGAGAGACAAAGAAAGAAAGCGAGAGGGTGAAAAGAAAAGGGGAAAAATAGGAAGCGAGGGAAGGATAACTGAAGAGAGGGAGGCAGGGAGAACACCCTGTCTATACTCTGGGTCCCTAGGGCTGTGATGTTGCCCTATTATGTTAGTGGTTGCTGCTACATGAGCCAGGGCGATGTAAAGCCCCTACAGTACACGGCTTAGGTTACCTGGCCAGACATAACAGGAAGGTATTATACTTGCACTGGCTAGCGATGGGCCTGGCCCGCTACTGGAAAAGACCCTGCGCTTTCTCTTCTCTACACTTCTTCATTCTCTCTCTCTCTCTCTCTCAGCCTTCTTCCTGGAGAGTGAGCGACTCTTGCACTATGCCTTGGCTTGAACACTCTTTCTCACTTTCGTTCCCTTTCCATCTGTCTTTCTATTCATCTCTCGCTCCGTCCCAAATTTGGACCTTTCTGTTTTTTCACTCTCTTTACCTGTTTCTTTCTCTCTCACTCTCTTTATCCCCTTTCCCTCTCTTTCCCTATTTCTCTTTTCTCTCTTGTGAAAGGATAGAAAAGAGAGAAAAAAGGGAATTCCCCCCAGAACACTCTCTCGCTCTCTCTGTCTCTCTGTCTCTCTCTGTTATTCCAGCCAGGGTTCTGGCCAGCTCAGCATCGTCAGCCAACTCTGGAAGAGTTATGGTTGGCCACCTCGGCCTGTAACGCTCCCCGGTGCTGTTTTAGCAGTTCCCTTAACCAGAGATCCTCCAAAAACATCCACAACTCAGTCATTTGAGATGTTTGTGTTGAGTCTCACTCACAGATTGGCTTCAGTGTAGTGAATATGCATGAAATTATCTCAATCATGTTAATGAATGTGATGGTTTTAAGAGGACATTTCTAAAGGAAAAGTGTTTTTAAGGGGATTTTCTATCAGAGATAATTTGCCTTGGGGGATATTTAAAGCGAACACCTCTTAAGCATGAAATACCAATAATCTCACTTCCGATAGACTACCGATATGTACTTATCACAGTGGGAGGCCGTTCCTTCTCTTGCTATATCAAAAGCGGTTCCTGCTACGTGCCGACTGCGTGTAGAATCGCAATACTCGTCAGTGGCCAACAGCTTGACTTTGAGCTAATCAGAGTGCCCAAACCCCCATGTGGGGGAGCCAACAGGAGTGACAAGAAAAAGGAAAAAAATAGGGGATTTTCTTCCTACATCCATGGTTAAATGTCATGAGCCAGTCACACTTCATATGCAATGTAGGCTATGGGATGGTAGCTAGCTAAGTGCACAGACAAAATGCAAACCACTGTAGCTAGTATTGACATTATAATGCCTGTGTAAGATGCCGAGTTACTGCAGTGTCCTTAGCTAGCTAGCTATGTTGTGCTAACTAGCAAATATGCTAATGTTAGCTAAACATTTGGCTATGGGCAGGCACTGGCAGTATGGGATTATGCAGAGTGAATTAAATTGTTTCTTCGTCATCTTGCTAGGTAGTTATCTAGCTGTGACCATCTGGCTAGTATCAACAAGGGCTTTCTACAAAAATAGCAACATTAGCGCAGCTAGCTAGCTAACATTGGAAACCATACTGTAAGCAACACACACAGACATGCATTGCCAACAACGCTACTGCCACCTTCTAGTTTGGAGTATTTTAACAAGGGTGAGTGGCTGACGACTTCAAGGTCTTTGCTGTGTGAACACAAAAGAGATTGACTGCCGACACTCTGTTCAGAGGTGCTAAGTACTGTCGGCAGGCAAGCGTTTGACAATCCTACCAGTGTGTCTGAGCTATTAGAGAGAATTCTTGAGAATTCTATAAACCGTTCTAGCACAGCCATGTCTTAACCACACACACCGTGATAGAGCACATTGACACATTCATTAAAAGACCACACACACTGCGACCTGTGAGCTGCACGTTTCACAAAACCTCCTCCTCACATTCACCCTCACTCTCCTCTGCTCTCCTCTCAGGCATCCCGAGGGTGGCCCAGTGTAAGTTCTCCCTGCCCCTCCGTCTGGTCTGCTGCCCCTCCTCCCCCTCCAAGAACGCCAAGTACAAGATCACCGTGGATACCAACAAACCGCCCGTCAACCTCAGCGAGGTCTTCCCAGGTAATAAACCATAGAGATCTACCTGAGGCACCCCAGAACCTGGTCTGTACCATAGATCTCTACATGGCCTGTTCTCCACTGGTTCCCGGTACACCCAGGGATAGAGAGAGAGTGGTGTTCCGTGAGGATAGTGGTTAATTTTTCAGTCTGCTTGTCTTCGATAGTGTCAACTGCGTGAAAGTGAATGGCATGTATTTGCCCTGGAATGGAGAGTGTGTGGTATGTATTGATGCTGTTGATAGTGTGAGTGGGAATCTAGTCTACTTGCTGTTGGTGAGCAGGTCTCAGCCCTGGGAAGCAGCTCTGACTATCAGTCATTATCTGGAGCTGGGCATGGCGTCTCCTACTACACAGGACCCCTGTCCCAGATTAGATGCATGAAGATAGTGTGCGTGTGTCTCTGTGGGCAGATAAAGAACAATGTGATGTGCTCTGTTCACCTTGGCTGGCGTCCTGAGGAGAGATAAGCTGCCATATCTCTGTCTGACATCCCACCGCTGGAGACCCCACTATACTGGCCCCTGAGAAGTGGTAGGGAGCCCATACTGTATCTCTGCCTGACATCCCACCACTGTACCGGTCCGTGGGAACGTTAAGTCTGTGTGTGAAAAATTGGTTATTGTGGTGTTTCAGGGGACCATTTTCATTTATGTGCCATTATCAGACAGATACAGTGGTGTGAAAAAGTGTTTGCCCCCTTCCTGATTTCTTACTTTTTTGCATGTTTGTCACACTTAAATGTTTCAGATCATCAAACAAATTTAAATATTAGTCAAAGATAACACAAGTAAAGACAAAATGCATTTTTGAAATGAAGGTTGTTATTAAGGGAAAACAAAATCCAAACCCACATGGCCCTGTGTGAAAAAGTGATTGCCCCCTACAACCTTATAACTGGTTGGGCCACCCTTAGCAGCAACAACTGCAATCAAGCGTTTGCGATAACTTGCAATGAGTCTTTTACAGCGCTGTGGAGGAATTTTGGCCCACTCATCTTTGCAGAATTGTTGTAATTCAGCCACATTGGAGGGTTTTCGAGCATGAACTGCCTTTTTAAGGTCATGCCACAGCATCTCAATAGGATTCAGGTCAGGACTTTTACTAGGCCACTCCAAAGTCTTCATTTTCTTTTTCTTCAGCCATTCAGAGGTGGACTTGCTGGTGTGTTTTGGATCATTGTCCTGCTGCAGAACCCAAGTTCGCTTCAGCTTGAGGTCACAAACAGATGGCCGGACATTCTCCTTCAGGATTTTTTGGTAGACAGCAGAATTCATGGTTCCATTTATCACAGCAAGTCTTCCAGGTCCTGAAGCAGCAAAACAGGCCCAGACCATCACACTACCACCACCATATTTTACTGTTGGTATGATGTTCTTTTTCTGAAATGCGGTGTTACTTTTACGCCAGATGTAATGGGACACACACCTTCCAAAAAGTTCAACTTTTGTCTCGTCAGTCCACAGAGTATTTTCCCAAGGTCTTGGGGATCATCAAGGTGTTTTCTGGCAAAAATGAGACGAGCCTTAATGTTCTTTTTGCTCAGCAGTGGTTTTTGTCTTGGAACTCTGCCATGCAGGCCATTTTTGCCCAGTCTCTTTCTTATGGTGGAGTCATGAACACTGACCTTAACTGAGGCCTGCAGCTCTTTGGATGTTGTTGTGGGGTCTTTAGTGACCTCTTGGATGAGTCGTCGCTGCGCTCTTGGGGTAATTTTGGTCGGCCGGCCACTCCTGGGAAGGTTCACCACGGTTCCATGTTTTCGCCATTTGTGGATAATGGCTCTCACTGTGGTTCGCTGGAGTCCCAAAGCTTTAGAAATGGCTTTATAACCTTTTCCAGACTGATCTCAATTACTTTCTTTCTCATTTGTTCCTGAATTTCCTTGGATCTCGGCATGATGTCTAGCTTTTGAGGATCTTTTGGTCTACTTCACTTTGTCAGGCAGGTCCTATTTAAGTGATTCCTTGATTGAGAACAGGTGTGGCAGTAATCAGGCCTGGGTGTGGCTAGAGGAATTGAACTCAGGTGTGATAAACCACAGATGAGTTGGGTTATAACAGGGGGGGGCAAACACTTTTTCACACAGGGCCATGTAGGTTTGGATTTTGTTTTCCCTTAATAATAACAACCTTCATTTCAAAACTGCATTTTGTGTTTACTTGTGTTATCTTTGACTAATATTTAAATTAGTTTGATGATCTGAAACATTTAAGTGTGACAAACATGCAAACAAATAACAAATCAGGAAGGGGGCAAACACTTTTTCACACCAATGTATATCTGTGTCCTTAACCAATGGACTCTATAGTTCCTATTGTTCTCACTGAATGTCCCTCTCTGTGTTGTAGACTTTCTGGAGAAGTCTGAGGACAAGGAGGGAAACGCTCTGGCCTTCCACTTCCTCTCAGGGCCCAGAGTCACTGTACTGGCCTCCAAGACCTCCCGTGAGTACACACATACGCAGCATCCTCTAGCACTTGGTTGATGTGGAGTTGAGCTTTCTCACCACCTTCCGGAGACATTTGAAACCCCACCTCTTTAAGGAATACCTGGGATAGGATAAAGTGTTCCTTCTAACCCCCCCCCCCCCCCCCCCAATTGTAAAGTGGTTATCCTACTGGCTATAGGGTGAACGCACCAATTTGCGAGTCGCTCTGGCTAAGAGCGTCTGCTAAATGACGTTAATGTGCCCTTGAGCAAGGCACTTAACCCTAATTGCTCCTGTAAGTCGCTCTGGATAAGAGCGTCTGCTAAATGACTAAAATGTAAATGTAAATGTCTACCTCCCTCTCCCTTTCTCTCCTCTCCAGAGCGCTACCGTATCCAGAGTGAGAGTTTTCGAGAACATCTGGCTGGTGGCTAAGGAGCTGGTGCAGCGCTTCGACCGCCACTTTGCCAAGCAGGGAGTCAAAGACTTCAGAAACAGCTTTGCAGGCCCTATACCTCTGGCTGAGTACTTTGAGACTGTCGACCACCACTTTGAGGTATGTATTGAACACAGACACACTGTCACACACGCATTCATGAGTTGTGTTTGTAGGTACAGCTTTTGCCTGCAGTGTTAGAACAACATTCAGTGTGTGTGTTCGTTTAGCTGCGTGTGAGTGCAGAGAAGTACCAGGACCTCCTGTCAGAGCGGGCGATCCAGTTCAGAGCCATCCAACGCCGTCTCCTGACCCGCTTCAAAGACAAGACCCCCGCCCCCCTGCAGAACCTAGACACACTGATGGAGGGCACGTACCGCCAGGTCAGACACACACACACACACTAGACTAGGACACTCAGGCATGCACATAGCATTTAGAAACATGATGGAGAGTCTCTCTCCCCTCACTTTTGTGAGGTGTTGATTTTTCCCTACCTCACACCATATGGTGATTTACACACACCACACACACACCTACACACACACACCTACTGTACAAACACACACACACAGAGTAATGAGTGCACTAGTGTTGATTTACAGAGTGATGGGCCTACACTGCTGATTTATGCACTTCCTGCTACTACTGAGGTGCTAGCTCACACACTATGGTATACTTATAGCAGACAAACATACTGCCATGACCACACACACAGGAATACACAAACATACACACACGTGCTTGTGCAGGCACACACACATACACAAAGACGGATGCATGCTTGCGCGCACACACACATACACCTGTAAAACACAAAGACATATACATGCACACAGACACACATACACACCCATCTATCTCTGTCCTCGTCTAGGGGAGCCTTATCGCCAAATTAGACATTATTTTTACTAACTCGGTAGACGGGCTGTAATAAGAATGTAGGAGCGTTTGTGTCTCTCTCTTTCTGTGTGTGTGTGTGTGTGTGTGTGTGTGTGTGTGTGTGTGTGTGTACATTCTCTCTCAGTATTTTTCTCAGGTTCGGAGGCCAGGGTAATTGATGCTGGAGCCTTCCTTTTTAAATGATGATTACACAAAGAAGCCTGATTAGAAACCTCTGTATGGTTCGGAGTGTGTTGGGAGTGTGGGACAGTGTGTTTGTGGATTCATTATAGTGTGTGTGTGTGTTTGCCTTGATTTGAAGTTCCCATTGTGAGTGTCTGATGATGTGTGTGTCGGCTGATGAGTTCCAACTGTGTGTGGGTTACTGTATTAGTTCTGTGTGTGAGCGCGCGTGTGTGTTTTGAGTGGTGTAGACTGTCTGACGTTGAAAGTGATGGTCCCTTGCCGTCACTGTTTACAGTAGGAGCTCGTTTGGTGAGGAACTCTTTAACGCTGTTCATTAGCTCTCTTACAGCTCTGGGAGTGGGTGACATCATTAGATATTTAATGTGTCAGTACTTAACCATTACGCCTATCTGAGTAGAACCATGCAGAGCTCTCACACTGTAGATACACTGCCCATAAGGTCCACTACGAGGTGTACTCATACCCAACACCACAAGGTTCAAAACTGGTACAGTTTTAAAGGGACACTTACCTTACAAACTGGGATCAGTGTTCAAGTTTTGTTGCCGGCGAAGGGTCCAACGTTCACTTTTTTTCTCGCTGGGCCAGTTGGCCAGAAATCTACTGTCCCGGACAGAATTTCTAATTGCACGGACATGGTGTAGTTTGCAAATGCATTGGGGGTCATGCAGGCCCTTTAGGTTGGAATGTTTTTTTCTCTATATCCAGCTATTAATAGGCTACATTTGGTTACTATGATTAGGGATGGATATTCAAATAACATCATGACAGTTTTTTTTGTGATATTCAGATAGTCAAAATACATGTGTTGAAATTGTTTTTATTAAACTTGCGAACTTGCTTGCTGCGCAGCCTGTACGACTTGGGAGGAGACCCGCTCTTCCCGGTGAGTTTGACACAGGAGGGAGAGGGAGAGATGGTAGCCATACAGACTAGCGCTAATTAGACAAATCTGTAGATGCCATAGGTTGTCTATCGTTCCATCTGGTAGTGCCTGTCTTGACTGCATCAAATTGATGTAAAGAAGCTAGCTAAGATAGCCAGCTACGTTAGCCAGCTAGCTAGCTCGCTACCTAGAATTATTGAGGCAATTTTACTGCGCTTCCTGTCCTGGTCTACAACAACTACATGCAGATTAAACAACAGCCTACCTGATGGTTGCTCGTTGTAGCCTACTCCTCATTTAACTAACTTAATTCCGTAATTTGAATTCCATCTTGCATTGATTAGAGATCTCCCACGTTGCTTGCTTGCTACACATGGAGCCACTGACTATAGACAGTACCACTTTTATTGGACAACAATAATAACAAACGTGTGAAACCTGCTAATGCTTCTACGGTAGACATATGTATTTTTTACGGGGCGCACGTCATAAAAACTACGTTCAAAAGTTTGGAGTTTTATTGAATTAAGAATTTCAAATGTCATGGTATATCCTTGGCCAGCTATATCCATAGATAGTTTAATTTAGGCAAAGCCTTTTAGTGTTCAAATTGTTCTATGAGTATTTAATTTCTTTATGAATACTCTCACATGTATTCAAATACTAACGTCCGTTTGGATATTAGAATATAAAAATAACCATGCCCATCCCTAACTATAATATGTATTAAAAAGCTGTGTAATATAATTTAGCAATGTAAGTCATTACTCTAGTCTTTAGAATTGTATTAATTGCATTCATTTTTGTTTCTGTCATTTTGACAATGCTGTTCATAGCAGATATCAGTCTAAATGCACTGCATGTCACAGTGCCAGCTAATGCTATTAATATATCAGTGTCTCTTTATTTTGTTAATGCTTGTAGATGCTGACCCAGCGCTGCTGCCTGTCCCTTAGCATTACTAGAACCCTGAGTGATTCTCTCTATACAGTATGACTCTCTAGTCTGTCTAATGTGCTCCAGTGTCAGTCTGTCCATCCCTTCCTGCTGCCGCTTCCCGCTAGCGCCTGCCACCCACTGTGGATTCGGGAAATTTCTGACACTCTATACGTGCTGTAATGTATACACGCACCCAATAATGGACGCTATCGACGGGCTACTGGGAAGAGTGATGCACGCATCAAATTAATTATTCATATCTCTGGGTGGGTATGGGTTATATGGCCCTTCTGAAGGTCTGTGAGCTATGGTGGTTCTCACTAGCTCAGCGCTTTAGTTAGGGGTTATTACTCACAGGGGTTGTGTCAGTCATGAGTCTTAGTCTTTTGACATGCCAAATGTGATTGTAAATGACGAGGACGGGGGGGGTTAAAGTTTTGTTTTAGCTACGTGTCTTATTGTGCTTAGTCAGGGATAGTACACTCAAATGACAAATTTGCCTAATATTATGGATACCAAGAAAGTAGTCTGTGGACCCAGAGACTCAGCAAGTGGTAGATGAGGTACATGTGTACTTTGGATGAACTAAGAACAGCATCGTCGAATTTCAGATTGGTAAATATTCTGCATCTTATCTGTGGTCAGGCTGGGCTGTCGGTTAGGGGACGTCCCCTCATTAATGTGTGTGTGACTTTAAGAAAGCATTTGTGCGTGTTGTTTGTCATCCAGAGAACAGAGAGATACTGTGAGAGGCCTGTGATTTTTCTGGTCTGGTGTACATCCATATACAGGGGGATAATATTTCCTTTGTTCATTCTTTCCTCATCTCTTCCTCCTATATTTTATTCATGAAGGCCAGATGCGGCCTGCTCTGTAATGTGTATGTGAGCTGGCCAGAGGTGTCTGTTTCCTCCACTTTTCATTCTCACTACTTAAAAAGCCATTACTCATCCTGGCCCCACAGTTTATAGTTCACCCTGGCTCTCCCTTTAACTCTCTGTTTGATTAATCTGTGGCAGGTATGGAGAGGTTAGCCAGAGGGCTATTTTAGCCTAGCCTTATCATTCCTGTTTTTCTCCTCTGCTGTTGTTCTCCGAGTGAAGGCACACTGCTGTCACTCTGGACCGGGAAATATGTTTCTGGGTGGGAGGATGCAGAGGGGAAGGAGGGTGGGCTCAGTGAGGGGGAAAGCCCGGCAAGCCGTTTCAATAAATATTTGCCCAGCGTTTATCGCAGGTAAAATGGCCTCCGTGTTAGCATTAGCGCGCTAACCTAGCTGGCCGCAGCGCTAGTTGTCTGGGAGCTGAGTTTGAGTTGAGCGGAGGCTCTCTGTAATTAGCAGTTCAAAAGCAGGAGGTGGGACGCTTTAGTTTTGACTGACAGGCCGCTCTGGGGCCCCTCGTTCCAGTAATGGAGGCTTCTCTCAGACAGCGGCTGATTTATCTGGCCCCAAATGGAGCGCTAAACACGGCTAAACATGGCTAAACATGGCTAAACACAGATCCCACTGTGTACGTGAGGCCCTCGCGGTTAATGGCTGGGGTACTCTCTGAGCGCTGTGTGTGTGTGTGCGCGTGCGTGTCCACTGAGATGTGTAAATGTGTGTTTTCCTCAGTAAAATACCCCAATGTCAGAAAAAAAGGAGAAACAGAGGAACTCCCTCAGGTCCCCCTGACCTTTCATCTGCTACGCAAACACAGGCCGCACCTGAGAGACTGCCTTTCAAACTGGCCTTCAAACACACACACACACACACACACACACACAGGAATAATGAACATACAGAATACCCCTCATGCACATTTAGGAGTCACTGGGGCCTTCCTCTATGGATGTCTACCATATCAATGAATGACTGTCTTTCATATAGCTGACTGACATATAGGCATGTGTGTGTATAAGAGTGGGGGACAGAGAGTGACTGATCTAGAGGAGTGTGTGTGACACAGTCAAGCCTCTGGAAAAGCCTGTCTTTACAAATGTGATGTCATATGGAAACCAGTGTTGTATAGAGATAGTCTTGTTACTGTTGGGAGATCATTCTTATGGTCGTCTCATAAGAATGTATGAAGATTGGCGTATCAGGGTACTCCTGTAGGATTTTACATTTTCATTGCAAGTCCCATAAATAAATACCTTACTATGTACATTGATATAGTATTTAAACCAATGTTAAATAATTATTTTCTTGGAGACCCACACCTCTGTACTGTATACATATGTAGAGCAGAGCAGTGTTTTGTGGCTAATTCCTCGTGGGTCATGGCCAGACAGGGATCAGCCTCTGGCAATAAATACTGTGTCACTTCCTGTACCTCTTGGGTCAAAAGAATGTCATCATGAAAAAGGCTTTAGGTAGATTGCAGCACGAAATGTTTGCTTACACCCAATCTAGAGGAAGCACTGTTTAGCATCTTAAGTGGTGTCTGTGACCAGATACTCAAAGAGAAATATCTATGATGTAAAAGAGTGGATGCCACACAGACTATTGTTATGTCCTAAATGGCACCCTATTCCCTATTTAGTGCACTAAATAGAGAAAAGGGTGCCATATGGAACACTGATTAGTGGTGTGTGTGTGTGTGTGTGTGTGTGTGTGTGTGTGTGTCGTCTCCTGCCCCCTCAGGCCATACACAGAAGGAGGGAGAGGGGAGAGGGCGTGGGACTGGGGTGCTTTATCTAAG